GTGTGAATGGAGTAATTGTTGGGATGCCACGGAGGAAAACTCCGTGATGTGGAGACCAAGGCCTTGCCCAACACAAGTTATAAAATATATATAATTCTGTAAAAGTAAAGTAAAGTAAAGTTTTGTCCCGCTACGTGCGCTAAAGGTGCTTGGGGTGAGTGGAGGTATAGCTCCTCTTTCTTGACCTCGGCACTATATGGGGGTGAGTGGTCGGCATCCCACCCTGGCCAGCTTTGCCCCCGGTACCCATTGTAGAGGGGGCTGGGTGGGCCCCAGAGCCGGTCTGGACGCAGAGGCTAGAGGAAAAGTCCTCTGCCCCTGTCGGGGATTGAACCCCGGCCGTCCAGCCCATAGCTAGTCACTATTCTGACTGAGCTATTCCGGCTCATATATAATTCTGTACAGTATTAGAAATTGCAAGAAAAAATGAGCATATGGGGATGTACAACCACTTACTAAAATGCCAATGTTGACCTAATGTCTAGAAAAAATACTAGTTTTGCAATTAGATACATGAAAGCTGTGAAATAATGAAACTGCATGTTCATATCACATGTCAAGCTGCATAGTACAGAAGTACATGTACGTAGTAGACCAATGACAAGAGAACAGTTTCTTGTTTCAATGTACCATTTTCTTTCTGTGAATGTTGATAATATCTGAAAGAAAATATGTAGATTAGAGTTGGCAAGACTGTTAACGTATTCTGAAGTCAAAATAATTTCCTTCTCACTGTGAGTTATATTCATATATGTATTAGAGTAAGGAAAGCCTTTCTCTGAAATTACATTTATCAAATATGACTCCTGTATTAACATTTTCAATTTCTTGTTGATTTCAACAAACTATTTTCATGTCACCTAGTTATTTCTATAACCTGATGGCTGATGTACTATTTGGAAAAATGACATGTGGTTAATATTTAACTTCGATCATTCAACCAAAAAGGCACTCTCGCCATTTCAAGACCTACAGACACATTCACCCTTACTGACTCACTGTCATCACAGAAAATTTATTTAAATTTCACAATTTATTAAAAATGGTGGTCACAAAGGTTTACATATTACTAAGTTATTTCTTGTAACATATTTGTTGATTTGTCACTCTTATTAAAATTATGCAAATATTCCACAGAAACTATTTTTTATCACGCAAAAGTGATACAATTCGGTATTTACTGATGATAAAAACAAACCCTTACTTTTTGATCTGAAAATTAAAAAAATCAAGAAATAAAAATATAGGCAGTGAAAAGAGTTTGAAGATTATGTAGTTGAGATGTCTGAAGATTAGGCAGGCAGGCAGTCACACAAACTGTTGCAGGTGGTATCTTGTAATGAAACTGAACCACAAACGCAAAATTCACATCTCCGTAACACAAATTGCAATCACACAGTTAACAAGTTGCCGTGCATGCAGCATGGTGGCAGTACCCACCACCCATGATTCGTCAGCTCTATTAATAAATGCCAACCTAAACTAATGAAAATCTAAAACCCAAACTAAAGCACTAATATAAAATCATTTATTTGAATGGTAATGTTTCATTACTGCACAGTCTTTGAAAAGCAAAGGAAAATTAAGAAGCAAACTCATATTCTGAGGTTAGTGGTTTTGTTGGGGTTTAATTATTTTCATTATGACGGGTTTGTTATTCAGTTTGGGATTTGATGTGGCATGGTTACAGTACCTGGCCCTGACCACGTGTTTTGTGTATTACATTTTGGTGTTCACCAAAATGTAATACACAAAACTACCCCAACTGGTCATTTGTATTGCAGATGTGAAATTCACAACCAGAACGCACTCACATTTTAAATCAGTCAGATGATGGCATGACTGTTAGCAGTTTTTCTTTGAGAGAAATAGAAAATGCAAATTCATAATTAGAAATTATTAACACACTCAAGAGTCTTGTCTACATACATGTTCTGGTTAGTTGGCTTTTATGTTACAGCACATTCTATTCTGTGCAAATTATAAAAGCCACTTCCCACCCTCTTTAATTATTTTTCATCTATTACATGAACCCTAATCTTAAAACATAAATTTGAAGAAAAAAAACTGAATGTTATTGATGAGTAAATACGGTACTACAAAGACGCACGTGCACCTCATAAACCACATCTGTGGGCCACACAATGTGAACCTCCAGTGGTGGCTTCCTCTGGGATAAGATATAATTTATACAAGACCAGCTGAAATATTTTTATGTCTGTCCCACTGTTTGCAATGGGCTGTTCCCCTTGTTCTTACACTACTGCAACAGTTCCACTTTCACAGAAATTCTGACTTTTGCAGTACACCTCCAGAAATTTTGGCCCTGTGACATTAACAATGCAGTTATGTGACTGTTAAGAGACCAGGAAACCTCTGAAAAGGAGGCGGCGAAAACGCACAACTGGGTTGTGTGCTTTGGCAATTTTTTATTTATTTAAGTGAAAATTTTGTAAAATTGCACTTCACACAATGAAGGAAATTACATGTTTATATATGGACCAGGATGCAGAAATGAAACTTTCACAAAACAGCAACCCAATTCTTTGGCGACTGTAAACAGTATATGCATATGATCAATTAAGCCTTTCTAATAAAAAAAACAGTATCTACTTATATCTTAATGACCAACACAGCACACAAAACCCCACATTTGAGGTTACAGGCGTTCTAGTTACGGAGCTAAATGATATTAGGTGCCATTCGGTTTACTGCCCAAGCGTTGCCCTGAAAACTCATATAAAACCCAAACTCCAAGCTGTCCATGTAATAAAAAATCATTAGTGTACTTACATCTTCAGAGAAGTATTGTTCAATAATCTCATAGGCCAGTTTGTAGATTTCCACATTTTCATGATTCTGAAGAATTTCAATTTTATCAAGCCCTAGAACATAATGAATTACATAAGGAATTAGAAACAGTGTTTCAACACTTATTATGGCTGGGAGGTCATAGAAGGATCCACTGCCATGACACAGAACTGGAGGGTTTCAGTGGACAGGGTCCCCTTGAAAGTGAACAAACTCCATGGAGCAGAATCCTTTCTCAGAAGCTGACAGTTGCTCAACTAATCAAGAAATTCCTTGCCTTTCATGAACCCTGAAGGTTTATTATTGTGTTCTCAAGTGAGCCAGAGTCCAAAAATATTATCCTCTAATTTATCAATTGATGCCAAAGTCTTCTGCATGGTTTTGTTCTGTCCGGTCCATGGACATGGGAGTACAAAATAGCACACAAAAAATAAAATTTAAGCTGAAAGATTAAGAAAAAATGTGTTATCTTCATATCAGGGGAAAAATGAGTGAGGAAGGAGAAAGATGAATGTCACTCAAGATTACCTCCACATTCCTCGATCATATTTGCAAGTTGCTCGACCTGAGGGCCTGCCATCTTGAGCATGTTGTTAATGCCATCCAACACCACCTGGATCACCTGAGTGTCCTTGCAGTTCAGCAAATTGCAGAATGGTGGGATCACACCCTCTTGGATCAGCCGTGCTACTTGCTCCCTGTTCCCACTGATGGTTAAGTTGCTGATTGCCCATGCTGCCTCCTTCTGTGTCTGAAACTCACCCTACCAACAAAACACCCACACAATTCCAAGCTGATGAGAATGCTGAGAATGGTAATTAAAAGTTCTGGAAGCCCGTGGACAAACCCTCAGGTGATCTCTGGTACTGTTACAAATGCAGGAATCTCATGTCTTCTACAGCGTATCTTATCACTTTGGCAATCTTGACAACATAGACGTTAGGATTCAGAAAAGCTGAGTTATCATGAAAATGACACTTATTTTAAACGTACAAAAATGTTTACAACAACCAAGAGTTATACAGACACACAAAAGCCAACATTCTTTTATAATACAAGATGCATCAGCATCCCCCTATGCATTCCACATCTTAATGCATACAATTAGGAATGAGAAAGTGCCGAGCTCTTTTTTAAAAAAGGAGATGCATCCTGCCGTGTGTTGATCATCAGGTTGACAGTCTGTCTACACAGCAACCCTGATCATAGTTTCAATGCTTATTAAAATCCACTAAATGCATCGACCTTAACTGGTCACCTTCAGGTGGTTCTCTTTAAGTGCTCAAAACTAACAGATAAGACAGCTAAATTGTATTTATATCTTCTGTTGCAGACTTCACTACATAATAAACTGTGTCTTAAGCAGCTTACCTCTTTAAGTAGAGCAGATTATGTAGATGCAGTTTAACATTGTAAAGTTGTAGCTAAATAGAACTACATCCACATTGTCCACTCTACTTAAAGAGGTAAGCTGCTAAAGACAGTCCAGAACATGGTGAAGTCTGCAACAGAAAATATGTTCACAATCTAGCTGTCTTATAAAAAAAAGTTTTGAGCACTTAAAACGAACCACCCAAAGATGACCAATTAAGGTTGAAACATGTAGTGGATCTTAATAAACAGAAGCCATATCAGGGATTGTTGTGTAGACAGACTATCAATCTAACGCTGTAATCTTTTTGTTTAAAAGATATGATAGGACCACTTTAAAACATTTCAGAAACAACATACTAAAGTGCATTTGTATCCACATCTTGCTAAATATTTTCTCTAAGTACATATCAAAAGAAGCAATGGGCTTTAATAAGTTTAGTTCAGTCTGACCTCACATGGATGAAACAAACTCATAAAGAGTAGGATACATATTTCTTTGTATTTTGCTGTTACACTTCATGTTCACAACAAATCTTTCTGAGATGTTCTGTATGATGGTTTGCCCTGTATCTATCTCTACCTCTCTACAACAAATCCAAACGAACAAAGAGACAGCATGAGCAATGGAGCTAAGAAATACTCACTTTACAAAGGTTCCTTATAATTTTTGGCAATAATTCTGCATCAATGACAGCCTGAACCTGCAGCTGGTTACCTGCAGTGATGTTCGACAAAAACCAAACAGCCTCCTGCAAACACAAAAGCATCTTAATTCTCTAGTCTGCCCTGCCGTATCGCCATCAATCAATAAGGCAAAGCAAGAAGAACTGGTTGACACAGCTGTTTGACCGAGAAGATTTTATTGATTGTACTCGCCACGAAAGTCTCAAATCCTATAATAACTATCATACTTAAAACAAGACAAATTATTTGGTTTAAACACAATGGATTAATGCTGCTTTCACAATTGTGTATTCCATCCAGAGATTTGTGAAACTTTGTCACATCGTTACACTATTATTATTTATAAAGTACAATAAAACAAAAACAACAACAAATTTTCTAAAATTCAAAAAAACTAAAACCCCTCCCCTCATACAAAATCATCGAAAACAATTTTAGCAACAGTGGTTGAAACTGTTAGATGATGATGGGATTAAGTGGTTGATGAAGGTGTACAATTGCATTTATGATGCAGAAAACATTCCGTATGAATGGCTGAAATCCACATTTATACCTATCCCCAAAAAATCCAGTGCAAAAAAATGTGAGGATTACAGAACAATTAGCCTCATGATCCACTTGTAAAAATTACTGTTGAAGACCATCCATAGACAAATATACAGGCTATGCGAAGAAAAGATTACCCAGCTTGGATTTCGAAATGCTCTGGGAACAAGGGAGGCACTATTTTCGATCCAAGTATTATTTCAGAACTGCAGGGATGTCAACTGTGATGTATATGTGTGTGTCGCTGACTACCAAAAAGCCTTCAATAGAGTACGGCACGATAGGATGGTGGAAGTCCTGAAAAGGACTGGTATTGATGGAAAAGATTTGCGTCTCATAGTGAACCTCTACTGGAACCAAACCGCTAACATCAAGGTGGAAGGTGTCTGTTCGGAAGACATAAGAATAAGGTGCGGTGTTTAGCAAGGATGCAATATATCTCCAATTCTACTCAATCTCTTTTCGGAACACACATTCGAAGAAGCCAGGTCCCCTAATACTGAGATTATGTTACAGTCGACTCTTCAGCCTGAATAAGTTTAATTTGTGGATATTTTCACTATACCTTACATATCTTCTCTTTCTGATGTGTGAGCAGTGCAGGGAAGTGAGACAATGCATCACAGTTCAGTACAACCTGTGTCTGCTCATCAGTCCCTGTCACAATGTTGCCAACTGCTCTCAGAGCAGCAGTCTGAACCTGTAATCACAATAACTTGCCAGATAAAAAATTACCAAGTTCAGAATGCCTCTACATGAATACAGATCATAACAAAAGAGGACGACAAAAAAGACAACAAACCATAAACAAAATAAAATACCATACACACACACTATAGTTGTGGTGGTACATAACAGACACTAGCAGTCTTAAACCATGTGACATTAATTACATTAATGAAACCCAGAAACATGCCCACAGTTGAATTATGAGAGAAGGCAAAAACTTCACAAATATCTTTCATCACATTAATCTGCAAGATCCAAAATTGGATAGTGCTTGAAACCTTGCAATGTTATTAGTGTACATTTCTCCATAACTACAATGCATATATCACTAAAGAATTATACCACACAAATTTCCAAGACTCAACACAAGATGGTGCTCTGACGTCTGCTTTGTTAGCACCGTTCATTTATCTGTAACCAATAAGCAATCACTGAAGAATAGTATCAAGCTAATTCCCAAGACCCAGCATTAGACAATGCTTGGAATCTTGCTACGTTCATACCGTCCATTTCTCCATTACTGCAATGCAGGTAGCATTGAAGATACATTTATAATTTATTTAACGATGCTTTTTCAGTAGCTTCAGACTATACAGTGTTGAATGTGAGGATGACAGTGAATTGTACAGGATATGGAAGGGAGCAATCACGGCCTAATTTAAGGCACCCTCCCAGCATTTGCCTGGAGGACCGAGGAAAAAAGATGAAACACCCTAGTCAGTACAGCCTGTCTTCATGCTTAATTTGAACCCAGAACCTTCCAAATACAAAGCAAGAGAGTTAACTACTCAACCACGATGCTTGGTAGCACTGAAGAAACACTATGGCTACACACCACAAATACATAACATCACGATACATACCTTAACCTCTTTGTGTGACAGCAATGGAATTAACTTTGGAACAACTCCACTATCAATCACCATCTGAATCTGCTCGTTGCCACCATCTGTCAGGTAACTCAGTGCCCACACAGTGTCAACTAATATCTAAGAAAAAGAAACAAACTAAATACCCTTGTTGGGAATTGAACCTCAAGTGTCTGGAGTCTACCCACACCCTTTACAAATTTACTAAACAACATAATTGAAAATAATATTTACAGTGAAATTAATCTCAAAATTGTCAAGAAGTATTCACACATCACAGCACTACACATATTTCAAAGCGAATAGCAAATAATAAACTACATCTTCAGTCAGCGTTCAAAGTACAGAATCAAAAGATATGTAACAGGACTGATTGCAATTACCTACTACAAATACAACCCTCAAGATCATCCTGTGCGCAACATAATTCATTCGGAGCCTGTCCCAAAGACATTACGCAAAAAACATAAGCAGCGTACATCCCCTCAGACTCACATTGATGTCGGTGTGATGGATCAGCAGGTTCAGAGCTGGCAGGATCTCCCTAATGGTCTGTACAGGTGGTGGTGGGTCTTTGTTTCTACACAGATTCACTATCACCCACGTTACATTCCTCAGGAAGCTGACGGGGATCTCAGGCTTGATAAATGTGAGCAAAGGACGGACCACACCCAAACTAATTACATAGTCCCGAAGCTGGGGGCCATCCCCAATTATGTTTCCTGCAAAATTACATCTTCTGTTACAGTTATTGAATGAGACACAAGAATTTAAAACCCTTCAGATGAACAACATATAGGCTTATTACAAATGAAGGGCAAACATTTTAAAATTTGTTACACAAATTAATAGTTCTACAAAAGGTATATCAGCATTAAAAAAGAATTGAACTCTGCTGATGCTCCTGCAAACATCCAAGTGACATAGGAACTAGTCCCAAACTTCCTGCTCCCAGGCCAAAGGCACAATTCTGTCCAACAATGACCTTCGGCCATTCTTTCACAGTGACCCGAGGTCCCACTGTTGTGCAACGACGAATTAAAAAAAAACATGGCATACATACATAGATAGGGATAACGTGTTCTTCACTCATGCTAGATCATTAAGAACACCTAAAAATAGTAAGGACAAGCAGCCCATAGAATGAATTATGACCCTGAGGACACCCCCCCCCCCCAAAAAATGCTAACCAGTCAACTGCAATGTTCAATACACAGATGAATTTGCTGGTGAAACATTCAAAGTGTACTGTACTAATAAATAACAACAAAAACGATCCGTAGTTCAGTCCTAGACAGATACAAAATTAAAGGTGCAAATTCCTACAGGATAATGCATCAGAAACTGACAAAGTTCTGCACATGATGAAGCCATTACAAACAATACTGAGAATACATTTAACTCTTAATACATGAGTACACAGAATACATTGATCACAAGTTCAGACAAAGTATGCACTTGCACTACGTGCCTCCTTATTGACACAACGTACCTAAAGCCCAGACAGCCTGCTCACACACATTCTGGTGGTTTGAGAGGAGAAGAGACAGGAAGAGGGGCACTGCCCCAGCTCCTACTACTGCCTGTGTCTGTGCTGATGTTCCACTTGCAATATTTGTCAGTGCCCACGCTGCTTCAAACTGAAGAACTGGACTGCAACAACAAACACAGGATCAATTTCATAACATTTTACACGTTCAATGGTTTCATGCTGACGTTTGTATCGAGGCAGAGAACTCACCTGTCATGGTAATCAAGACAGCGAACCAGTATTGGCAGTATTCCGCTTTCCATGAGGGCATCGATGGGGGGATTGCGGTCTGAGGACAGGAGTTTTCGAGCCGACTGGACGGCGTTCAGCTGGACAGCACGATCGTCACTACCTGCATTGGCAACTAGTTGTTCCAGGTTGGTGGAGGCAAGATTTCTATCGAAGTCATCTTCATCTGAAATAAGTACAAGTTAATGTTTGTCTACAATGAGTCTTGTCATTCAATGTCTGAACACGCCTAATACAGCCCACCAAACATTGTTACACTCAGTTTAATAATGTGATATCTGTACACTCTGTGCAATAAAACTAAAGTGCTTAAAATTTTCAAAATCTGAAACTGAAGATAATGTAAGTATACAGCTGGCATCATAGGTCCAATCATTCAAAATTTCCTAGCATTTGTCCATACATGACTTTGCTACCTTCCACTTATTACAATTATTGTGTGTGCCAAATATGTGTTAAACAAAGACACCAACACGTGTGCATAATTTGAAGAAAAACATGATTTAATGTTAATGGCAGTCTCCTAGGTCGTAGCCTCGTACCAACAGCAACTGGGAATGGACTGTACTATGCAAAAGAGAATGTGTAATTGCTGTTTGTTTGTAAAGTATTCAAATCCAACACCTGGCATCTTTAATAAGATGTCCAGAATCCCTGAACTTCAACCACAGATCTCATTCAACTTGGCATGCATTCAATTAAATATCAAACATAACAATAAGATGAAACAAAAGTTAACAATAGATACAGGACTGTGTATGCTTTAATGACAAAAAAAATATAGATTCTCTTTTGAATATCACAATCCATTTCCAACTGCTACTGCTATTAATGCCATACAAAGGCATGATGGGTACCCACCAGTGTAAGCACGCACACTGAAGGGTTAAGCACAACGTTACCGTGCTATAACACTCACATCGATGCTAGTCACTTATCTATCAGACAATATGGATGCTCAAGCATATATAACTGTAATTAATGAAAGGATGAGAAAAGCCAGATAAATACAAGGAAGGTGCAAATGACAAATTACGACACCGCCTGTATGCTTACATCACTTCCGGGTTCAAACTTATAAAATTGTATGCATTCGATGTGCAGTGAACAAATTTAATCAAAACTTTCATTGTCTTTAATTTTAATCATAATAATTTAATCATATAGAATCTGATAATGCCAAAGTCTCTCCCCATGCAGCCACATTCACTCTCTCTCCCAGCAGTTGCACATGTAAGTTGTTCACTCACACGTCAACGGCCTAAATTAGCAGCAAGTTGTGAACACACCTGTAGAGTCCGCTACTGGAACATTCCTTCGTTTCTGCAATGTCTCTTCTCTCTTGTTCTTTCTGAGCTCAACTGTGACTTCATTTCTCCGCCTTCTCATTTCCTACAAACAGAGAAGCCATAACTTACATCAAAATGCCAACTACTACAGAGAAAGGAATGAATGCATATCACAGCAGACATATTCCAAATGCTTTCCTCGCATGTATATTTCTCTTATACCTTTATTAAGATTTATTTACTGCAATTGGGTTTGTACCCGATGGCAGTGACTGCATGCATACAAAATATATGCAATGTCTGAAGTATCACATTTGTATAAATTTGTTTGACTGAGGCCACCAAAAACACATTGACCAATGGTGATATTTGAATAAATGACAATAAAAAATGGCATGCTTCAAACAATCTGATACTGTATAAAGACAAAAGTGATGTGCTCTGTCATTTCAAGTTGTGATTAAGCCACAAATGGATGATGAGATACCTGATCACTATTCCAATAAAAACCCTGCACTTCATCTTGTATCAGGAAGGAGTGGTTTTCTGAAAAGTCAGAAACAACAGCAACTCCTCTACTTTTACTACAGTTCTTTATAGAAATAAATAATATTATGACAAACTATGAAAGAGTAAAAGAGCAGGATGTTTAACTTTTCAGAAAAGACTACAGAAAGTCACTGCAAGATTGCCAAACCATCTCCAAATTTGTTTTACCAGTAATCCACTGGAGGAACAGCCTCCAACTATGCAGGTTAGCTGCAAATATATTGAATTGGCAGTCGCGGACAGCCAATAAGAGGTGGTGGTCCTCCAGCTTTGGGGTTGGGCATAAGGCTAACAAGCTTTCACTGTAAAAAATTGACAGTAGAACCACAGTTCCGGGGAATCTGATGTAAATACGCAAACGCAGCAGTAGCGTGAAGTGTGATGCGCCTTTATTTGTATAAATAAATGTTTGCAGAACCTAAACCATTTGTGATATGTAAAATCTGAAAACATATGGAAAGCTCAAGAGGTGATACGTATTTCGTACGCAATATGTCCAGATCCACCTCTTACGGTTTTCGAGAGGCGGGTGCTTAACGTGATGAGCAATAATAATAAATACGAATCCTTTACGTCAAACTTTGTTCAATTGTAAGATACCATGATGTCCACCCGCAATGACCAATTTAATCAAAACTAAAATGGAGAGAGTGGAGGGCAGTATCACAGATTTCTTAATAATTCTTATATAAGATAAGTAATTGTGATATTCTAAAAGTTTTTAACAGAACAATATTATCTACTGTACGACGCATATAAAAGCTGACCACTGTCGGTCCATATTTACACACTGTTGGTATGGATCTTACACATTTTCCTAATGCTGTTTTGCCGAATGACCCTTCCGTATAAACGTATTTACGTCAAAACTCTATTGTTACAATAGAAGTTAACAGAGCCTCAGAACCAGATGGACTCTTTGAAAGATTTACAGGGACCAATGGAGGGCTTTGGTTAATTCGGTGATGAACCTTCAGCAAATGTACGCCACTGTCTGCAGGTTATACTGTCTACATTATGGTCTCCACATCTCTGTTCAATAATTGTGATTAGGTTCTCAGTCCCTAGACACATCTCACATTCTCCCTGGTAGCAACTTACACTACACCATTACAAAAACAAATTTAGAGTCATAAGTTTACACTTGCTTTTCAGTTAAATCACATAATTCTGCACCCAAAATTACAAGTTTCACATTCTGATTTTAACACACACACAAAATGCATGTGCACCACTCACTTCAGCCTACACAGCTTTTGGCCATAACTCTGCAAACTTTGGAGAGTTTAGCAACTTCTCAGGATTTTGTTTCTTAAAACTTAAGTAGACTTCTGTTAGGTTACGCAATATCAGTAGTTTCTTCTCAGAGTGGCAAGGATGAAAGTGACTGACTTCTGGGTTGTCATCTGATACAAGCTTACCAACATTTTGGAGGTGCTTGATGCCTACATCATCATGGTGATGAATCACTCACCACAATAAGCTTCTACCATACCACACAACGCAACAACCCAGAAAACAACCTCCTTCACAAACCTTCTTGCCTTCTAAACCAACAGAGAAATAGTCTCTTTCCCCTGACATAATCTTGCTTATGTCATCAGACACATAAAACTGTTTCACTTCAGCTGTTGCTGGAGGCAGCACTCTGCTCATTTTACATTTGGATTTGACAAAATTCCTTTCCCAGCCAGTAATTTCTTGGACATCCAATCCATGTAATTTGAGGCTTTGAAATCTTGCTGGATTTTCCTAATTGACCAGTTCTTTAAAAAACCCATCAAAATTTGAATCTTTTCACTCTTCTTTACTGTTATGTGAAATTCTTCGTGCTACTCTGCTATCACTTCACCTTCTCCTGAACTGCTGCTAACACTGTAGTCTGCTAAACTGAATAGTAAACATACCTCATTTGACTTTCTTGAATTTTTCCTTCACATACTTTACTTCCGACTACTATGTAGTGGAGAGTGGTAACTCTTCCGACTCCAGAGTCTTGTCCAAGGAAGAAACAAAGATGGTCCTGCTCAATTTTAAAAATGTCCAAGTTTTCCTTTTGGTGTATGTCACATTCTGGACTTGAAGTGACTACTACTTCATATCCTAAAATTTTGGGCAAATCTGCATGAGCCTTCCAATATTTACAGAGATTCTTTGTCCTTTATGAATAATAGGCACCTATTTAATCATCCTGTTTCATAATAGGTCACAGATTTTTCATAGAACTCACACTGTGACATTCAGGGGATTACAACACACAACTTATAGTTTTTGTGCAGCACTTGCAACCATTTTCAAATCTCACAAAAATAAGTTAATTTTACACTTGACAAAACCACTATAGACTTTGCCAGACAAGGAAATACACTTAACTCTAAGAGATCAGCTGTGAACTGAAAGTCTGGAGGCATGATGCCCTGCAACATGTCTGTACAGTTCACAACATGACTTATCAGACCCAACCACTCAGAGGAACATCAGACCATGACAGCAGCCATCAGCAAACTGCATACTTCAAGGTCATGGAAGGACTTCACCCCACTTACAGTATAGCTCAAAGTCAACAATACAGCACTGCTATACTAGCTAAATTGAGAGTTTTGAGCTGTCTTCACTTCCCTGGACGACACTGTTCATGTTTAAACATTATGATTTTAATATGACCTTGAAACATGCAATTTGCTGGCACATACTATAAAAGAAAAAAAATTACATCTACTCATCACTTTCATTTTCCAACATGATACTTTCCAAATATATATGAAAAATGATCACTAAGCAATGTGGGAAAACTTGTACAAATCTAGTGATTGGATTTTTCATAAATAAGGACAAAGGAAAAATGTTAATTTACACTAAAATATTGTGAGTGGCATACCAAATGAAAGCCTCACTTAAGAGCTTTCAATTGCACAAGAATAACCTGTCTTAATAAGGACTTGAGTTATAACTATTTTTGTAAAACAAAATGAGGAAAACTTAAAGAAAAATTTAAAGTATAAAAATTCTGTATTCCTGCAATTAATGCACAGGAAGATTACATTTCATATATGTCACTTCCTAAGAAGACCAAACAATACTAATTTTACTGGCATTTGTTTCAGAGCCTCAGTCAGTCAGACTGGCTATGGACTGGACGACCGGGGGCACAGGATTTTTCCTCTAGCTTCTGCGTCCAGACCAGTTCTGGGGCCAGCCTCCTACCCAATGGGTACCACGGTCCTTTACAAGGGGTAAAGCACAGCTAGGGTGTGATGCTGACCACTCACCCCCATCTAGTGCTGAGGTCAAGAATGAGCAGGAGCTGTATCTCCTTTCCCCCTAAGTGCCTACATGGTGTATAGCTTCTGTTAGGACATAATTCAAGGCTCATCAGCTTATAAGCTGCTGAATCCTCACTGATGTAAACGGACATTACTAACGTGGAAATGCATCAATATCTCGAATTACAGAACCAACGGACCCTAAAAACTATGTAAACACACATTGCTAACATTGACATGTATCATTTCTCACATTAAAGTAGCAATGGACCCTAAAACTGGCATGTTTGAATAACACGCGGTTCCTATACACACGAAATTATCAACTTCACAAACTGAAGCATGAACCAATCCTAGACTCCTCGAACCGTAGAAGGGAACGGCAGTCTTCTACGTCCATCATAGCTATAACAGCATTAAAACCAGCCAAAAATCCCAGGTCTTTAATCTAAAACTCAACAAGTCTACAACACGAAAAACTTGTGAATGCATGCTCTGAACTTCGGTTAGCTTCCATGCAGGATTTGTAGAAAGACATGATGTTGATCAAGTAGCATCAAAGCATATAATAATGAACAAAGCATTTATATTTTTATCTCATAATTTATGCTTGCTTACGTCCTGATCCTTTCCTTTGTTCTTGAAAACTTGCATTCTATTCTTATTTTGCAGATCCGACGCCATTTTTAACTAATTCGCGAGCCAACCTTCTTCCGCTCAAAATGCCGGTGTTCCACTAGAGTTAAGGTCCTATGACGTCAGAGAGCTTTCACTAGGTAGCAATGAATGCTAGAATACGGGTGTGCTGTTAAATTTTCTATATACGTATAATTCTAGTAGACAGCACTTAAACATTGCAGTATAACAATTACGAAACTATTTAACACACTCTCCAGGTTTATCACACACTTGATCATAAACATGTCGTTGATTATAAAGTTCAGAACCATCTTCATACCTCGTTCAAGAATGTGCATCGTAGTAGACCTGTGGGACCATGGTCTGAATAGTCGAGTGCGAAGCCGCATCATAAAATTTATTTTCCATTTGTAAAGCTATGTTTCATAGTTATGTTTTATTCATGCTCCATTACATTGACATTATTACATTTATAAATAAGTTCTATATCTTTTAAATGTTTAATTTTATGCATTAACGTCAGGTAAAAATTGACTTTATAGGGCTCATAACAAGAATACCCGGAGTCTTTTAAAACATTTTTAGTAAGAATCTTTGGAGCACTTCTGAAATAAATTTATCAAGTTACAAGCATTTTGACTGCTAATGTTCCAACAACTTTAAATTAAAAGTCTACTTTTACGTGCTTGCATACCAGCAGTAAGACATTATTACTGCCATCTGCCAGCTTTCTTTAGAACCTCAAGTGTTTAGCTATTATGTTGGTAATCCACATATATTTAGGAAATAAAAGTAATGTATTTCCGACATCCCAATGAAATTTCCACCTTCTCCGCTGAACTAGCAAAAAGTTTCAGTCGAACCACGGTTCCGGAGAATTTGACGTAAATACGTCTCTGTATTTAAATTATATTTACGTTTTTGTAATGTAATGTAATGTTATGTTCAGTGTCATCCATCTTGTTACGAATGCGGATTGCTGACGGCAGTAATGTAACACAACAATGCCGAGTAAACAGATGACGTTTCCTAGGTAACATAACAATGCACGCAAGCTGACCATTGTTGTCGGTCCATATTTACACATTGTTGTCGATTTGTTGATACGGATCTTACACACTTTTCTGTCACTTTTTTGCGGAATGACCCTTCCATATAGACGTATTTACGTCAAAACGAATATCTAATTTAATCGAAATGTATACTTACCTGAACTTATCAGGATGTAATAAACTAACGGTACGTTAACCTTTAAAGTATCATGTACTTAAATACCCATATCGCCCGGTGGCCCGAATGTAATCCCATTTTTATGCTACACTGTGTACGTGTTTCTATAAAACAATGTTAAAGTGTCCACACAATCGGACACCACATGCCTAACAATAGTACAGTATACCGTCTTTGCTTACTTGTGGTTTTCTGAGCACACTCCATACGGCCTTTCCCACCCTTGGTAATTTTTGCCTTTGACTGCACAATTTTTGTTGTTCTTTATCTACATTTCATATAAGAAATTTGTCGCTATAACATTTAAAACCGTCTTCCACCGCAAGGATAAGGTCACCAACAAGTTGTTCCCTACCTTGCAAGTGGGCCATTTTATACCATACACCTTCTATACCAGAAAATAATTTGACAAATGAAAGAATTGTTCACTTGCAGTTTTGCAATATATGTCTTAACATTGTGTTGTAGTTTTAAACTTCTTCGGACCCCTGAGTATTGCATGATTGAGTTTGTGCCAAGAATACCACTCAGCTGCAGGGATGTTGTATGCCTCCCTCCCGTCTTACAAACGCACTGCTGTGATCTAGCTATAACTCCATTCACAGTATCACATTTCTCCTTCTTAATGTCCTGGTGCCCAAAATTTGGGATATTCCTTATGTTGTGCCAAATAGTGCTACAGCAAGCAATTTTATAGTTATAACAGAAATCAACAAATGGATGTACAGTTCTAATTATCCGTGTGCAGTTTGAGGCCAACATCCTCCACTTTTATTCTAAGTTACACATTGGTATAGTGTATAGGTGAGAGATCATAAATGGCCTCTATGGCACTTTCCTGTGTAAGCTATTATGTCATACATGTATTCCTACCTCAGATAGTAGCAAGGACTAGATATTTATGCTAAATATCTTACGCTTCTTTGGGATATACTGCCTAAAACCAGCTATCACTTGAAATAGACAATTACTTCACCAACATCTAGGTGTTCCATAGGATGGTACACCTCGATGTATTGTGAGTTTAGGTAGCCAAACAGCCTTCTCAACTTCAACAAATTATCTTAATTCTGCTCTTCTCTGTAAGTGAATGGTGGGGGTAAGGAAGTTGTGGTATCAGCAAGATGTAAGATTTGAGGTTTTCACAGCGGTGAGTATGAAGATTTCCGTCTTCTGGGTTGTTGCGCTGTGTAGTCTGGTCGATGTTAACAGAAGACGGAAATCTTTATCAGCAAGACGTTAAAATAAATAAAAATGGGTTTTGCATCATTCTTTTAGACAAGAAAGGTCTAGTACCAAGAAGTCTTCATGTAGTTCCCTTCTTGTGCCCAGTCTACAGAATCAATGCACTGAAAACATTCATGTATTTGCATGCGATACCTTGCAGTGACAGACTGCTAATTACTTGCCGAATGACAAACTGATGAAAGAACAAACTTTATTCCTTCACTAACAATGTGACCACAACCTCTATGAAGAAAACCAGGCATATTCTAAGGGAAAACTGAACCCTAACTCCGCTTGATAACCAGAAATGGATGAATCTAGCCAAGAGATCCAGACAAATGTAACGCATAAGGGCCTATATCAGTTCACATGGCTGGTACTGAGGACAGCTACAGTCCGTGATATTTGGCAGCAGTGTATGGACTAAACACTGGCAGTATCTCACATGTTTTTCTTATTTAGATGAGAATCTGTTGACACTTTACAATTATGAACACTTACAAATTCTAGACAACTGTCTAAATTAGCAGAACGTCAACTCTCAGAAAACAGGTAATAAATGTGCATTTACTAAAAATGAAAATCCCTGCCTTGTACAGAATTTGAAGGTAGATTACCAACTCACGTATTTGCCATCTGACCCCATACTGAGCCAACTTAATCCAATCCACACCCTCATACCCTAATTCTTCATGACTGTCTCACCTCCTATATAATCTCTTCCATTTTTTGGACTAAAATTTTGTATGCATCTCTACATCTCACCCTAAATGACTTCATCACCCACGTGATATTCGGTAAAAACTTAAGTGAAAGCCTGTGAAGTAATTTTCTCCATCCTCTTAAGTTCAAGTTAGGGTATTTAAAATCTAATTTGATTCAGAAGATGCTTACGTACAGTAAACCAGGGACGAAGTGGTCATGGCTGATTTCAACACACCGCCATTTACACGGAACAATTAAAGAAAACTTTAAGCAATCTCAGTCAGGCAACTGGTTCTAAAACAAAGATTATAAATGTAATTCCTGAAACACTCTGAAGATGAGGCCTCCAAACTAGATTTTTTGGGTCTGTTTTGAGGATATGAGAAAAGTGACAAAATAACATTGAACTGAATCTTGAGGAAATGGGATGCAAGGATGTGAACTGTACTGAAGTGAGGTCTCTGGTATTAATGGAGATGAACCAATTACCAGAGTTATTTAAATAACTGTAGGTGTAACAGTACGTCTTTACTTTGTCACAAAGAGTGTCTACATGTCAGCCATATCAGCAATTCTTCATGTGTAACACCTGTGTCCATGGCCTTATCTACTGGGCTGGGTTTTTGGTTTTGGCATTTTGGCTAAGAGACTCTGGATGTCTTTCTTTTCATCATATGATTTCCATAGTTCAAAAAGGTTGATGACATACCGTGCTATTTCTTGTATCTTCTCAATGTCTACATTCAGCTCAGCAAACCAGGATTTCAGGTCTTTCTGCAGGATCACACACGCAATCTGCAGACAACCTGTAAAAAACACAGGAAAAGTTAAGTGTATATCAACTGCACAGTTTGTGAAGCATAGGATGGAAGGACAACATGGAATAAAGCAGTCACTGTCTATTCTTAAGGTATAATGCCCAATGTCTGCTTGGAGGGACTAATAAAAATCACAAAACCCTCATGCAGAGATAATTTTGAATTATTTACATTTTAGTACTTTGAGGATTTGAATATAGCTTTGAATTAATAATCAACTGTATTTCAAATCATCCGCATTAAAAAACACACAAAAATGCATATTTAAGACTGGGGAATGAGACTTCCTTTGAATTAGATTTTGAATTAACTGATATTGAATTAATAAGGTTTTACTGTATACAATACTAGAGACGAGCAAATAGCACTTTCTGTTTTATGTAATTGACTCTTCTTAATGCTCACAGAAGTTATGGAAGTACCTAACTCTCAGTCATATCTAACAAAAAGCTTTCGTCTACATTTAAATGTAACTGGACCATACTACAATTACGTTTTTATTCCTTACCACGGTACTACACCCAGAAGATGACTCAAAGAAAGTTCAATGTGGGCTTCATGTAGGGTAGTGGTTGTAATTTACCGATTCCTTGATATCACATTTAAATGAAATCCATAAGAATATATTTGGAGTTGAAATGCATGAATGGACAGACAATATCTCCATTTTTATACTCACTTTATACACTTTGTGCTAAGAAAGCATGAAAAAGAAACATCACCCTCAAGGAATCACTCACCAAGAGCTATCTGATACGGTGGATACAGCAGACACACATCTGTCCGCAGACTGTCATTAACCACTCTCCAAGCTAGTGCCAGTAACTGATCCTCTTGCCCAATGTCTTGAATAAGCTGCAGCAGGGGGCGGTATGGCTGGTACACAATAAGGCAGCAGTCCAAGTTCTCCAAGAGGTAAAATTCACACTCCAGGATGTGGTTTGTTCTGTACGGGAACTCCTGTGAGTAAGCGTAGCTGAACTTATTCTTCACTGCAATATTACAAGATGTTACTTTAATGTCACATGGTGCACCTCAATTAATCATGGTGACATAAGCACTACATCTAACATAAGGTACAAAATCAGGGCATTAGGCAAGATCTGAAGGTAGACACATTTCTGGAACAGTTTGTGAAATTAAAGATACAGTGGAACAAATATGTTGCAAATGAATGATTTAGAAGACTTCTTTAGAATACATAAATAATGAAGATGGTCAATAAAAGACAAATGCTAAAACCAAAGATTAGGTGGAGAGACCAAGTAAGGGAACTCATACAAATTATAAGAGACGAGTGAAAACATATGTAAGAAGAATGATTATGAAAGATCAGAACAATGGAGGATATTTGGTCATAAGATGTCATGTAAAGGTGGAAATGTCAATGGATTAAGATGATGATATTGAAGAACATGTTACTATTAAAATTTAGAAAATTAGTTAAGTTTGATTTGTATAATGTGTTGATAAACACACATGACTGGCACAGCTGAGTTGATTTCAGGCACGTTAGTTAATCATGTTGTTCTATCACAGCTGCTTGCATTCCCAGGAAGCAGACCACCATCTCATCTACTCCTGCACATGCGTTATATGCACGATCTTTCTAAAAAGATGCTCCAGTTTTAATTGCATATAATTAACTAACTACATAGCAGACAATAACGTATTTGGTGTCTGAGTTCAGTAGTCTTGGAGATTGACAATCACTTAAAAACATTTTTAACATGTGCACCGTTGGTGTCCACAACCATCTGCAGATGGCAATGGAAACTTCACACAACAGCACTAGATTTTCTTCACACATTTGCTAATAGGGTTTCAAAGAAAGAACCATGTTGCTATGTTCATATAACTATCATCTTCATTATTCTTGTCCTCCAGGATATTAAGCCTAATTTGGCCTGTTACAGATACCACAATACTTTTAGATCCTACACACTTTCTTCCTCTTGCTCGAGAGTTTATAACTTTTTGTAGATGCTCTTCTGACAAGAGGACCTGGTCATATGATACCCTCTAATATGGCTCCAGTCTTGCTACATGGGCAGTTGACACTACTCTGACTTTCTGACCAAAATATGACATGTTGACAGTTATTGTTTCTTTACAACACAAAATTCTATTTTTCATATTCTTTACTGTTACTTCATAAAATCTTATAAAGTTGACTGCAAAAGATCAGTTGATAGCATGTGGCTTGGGTTTTATTCCAAGTTAAGTTCTTCTTAATCACCATGTCTATAATGGTTGTGAATGCCACAACATTTCATTAATTTCTGAGTCTTTGCATTTATTTATTTATTTTCTTTCTTCCTTTATTCATATTTGTGAACAAGAAAAGTTAAATTAGTTTCACAGCATGAAAGGTTAAAAATACACCAATATTTTACAAAAGTGATGTTTTATACATTGTCAAAAATATAAGATAAGCATGGTATTCTTCAAACTAATGGCATCATGTAAAGTTTTCTGCAATGTAAACCACACTGCATTCCTGGCAAAAGAAAAAACCACAAAATACAAATACAGGAAGCAGGCACTGCTTAGATGTTCATGGTGTTTTCATTGCATTTAGAACGAGTACCATCCAGAATTCTGCAAGCCTGTCACCCTAATTTGTTCAAAACTATTTTGTTATTGTGTATAGCTTCTCTATTGTAAGATGTTGCTATATTTTCAGCCTGCAACATAAAAGGAAAAACGAGAATAAATAAATGCAAAGACTTGAAAGCAAATGAAATTTCATGGCCTTCAAAGCAATTTTACACATTTGAATAAAAATTTCTTTGGATATTATCCATTGTCTAGTAAAATATAAAATATAAAACGTAAAACGACGTTTCGGAGATGGGACTCTATCTCGGTCTTCAGGTTCCTACTCAGTTGGGCCCACTAGATAGAGCTAATCCCTATCTCCGGACAAAGTAAAAAAGTGAAAGTCCTGGAATAAAAAGACATCACCACACCAACCAACCGTGGGATGTAAAAGAATAAATAGTAGAAATAAAATTTGTTAAACACGATAAAAGCCAAATAAAACAAAAACTCACAAAATGTGGGAATAAATACATATGAACATTAATTTGAAACTCGATGCACAACTTGGACTTCTTCAGAGATGACTGGAATCCAAATAAGAGATAAATTTTAGACATAGTTATTAAAAATCCTAACTGAGAATCAAACTCAGATTACATCACCTGCACCATAGACAAACATACCACCAAGTTTCGGTAGTCCAATTAAGGGAGCCAGCTTTTATGAGACTTGTGAAGCAAAAGTGAGAAATGTGAAAAATAAAATTGTGTATAACAAAGAAACAGTACAGCGTAGGATTTGATATTCTCATGGCGGCAAGTATGAAGACGGCTGTCTTCTGTATTTTAACACCATGCAGTCTGGTAGTCTTATCACCCTGGTGATGGAGGCAGCAAGTACCTCTGAAATGTTGGCAAACTTCTACCAGACTACATAGCACTAAAACCAAAAATATAACCATCTTCAAACAGTGAACTTTCCTGCATTACATAATGAAAGATTCCATTTAATTAGCTGTAACTGTGACTCACCTACATTCTGGCAAGTTGTGATGAGTCTACTATTGGAAATGACCCCAAACTCTTCCACTTTTGAAGCAAGGAAAACACACGTTGGTGCCAAGAGTAATGGGTCAATACACTTCAGAGAATTTCGAGCATAAAACCGCTTGAAGAATACCGTCGCAGTTGCAATTACTTGTTGCCTCAGCTTCAACTGTTCACCAAGAATCTGAATCACTGGAAGAAAACAAGAGCATTACAGTTTGCAGTAGTTGTGGTACAGAGCACGCAAGAGTAGTGAGTGACTGACAAGCTTATTGAAGGAACAAAGAACTAAATATTCAGGGTTTGAAAGAATTGGAAACATGCGGGCAATTAACAGAAAAACTAAAAAGTAAATTTTGAAGTCTCATTCAGGTATAAAGTATCCCAATGGCAAATCAACAAAATACATTAGATATAAAAACCTACTACTTATAGCAGAGCCTCTGAGACTTAATAAGTCATTGAAACAGCAACCTGTACGCCACTTTCAAGATAAACGCAGTTAGAGTACTTTCATTTAATTGCTGTTCTTTTCTCACACATATATGTTGTGCAAAAAAGTAGTAATACATAAATGGCTAGTTGTAACATTTCCACATATTCATTTTCGATATAAATCCAGAAATCAGTACATTTTTTGTTCCATGAGGGATCCTGGAATTTTATAGAAACACAACTTATCCTTTCACTGAAACTAACTGCAAATGGATTTTGGATCCATTCATGCTGAGGAGTCAGGTCTGAAAGGTGACTCCCAAATTGCCTCAAGATTAATTTCTTTGAAATCACAATAAATTTCTTGAAGACACTCACTCACGGTACCACATATTTCTATGTAGTCAGGCTTCTCCAAAGTGTTATCATTTTCATGAATACTGAAACTTTGCACAAGAAAATAAACAAAATTTTTCATTTGTACCTTGAAGACAGATGTTTAGTCTGTTCAGCTTATGAAATATATCTCATAAATGTGTTAGAATATATTACTTCTTAAACAAAATATGATGATAAGTTGGGAATCATAGACCTGTAGAAACCTAAATACTTCTGTCAACTCAACGAGTCATTCGAGAACTTTATCTCTTGATAACCACCTTAACTCTGAATGCAATATAAGGGATTTTTGGTCTGCCTGCATTTCCTCACACAATACTTCAAAGGGCAAGCTTTCACAACTTTTACAGCTCCTTGTAGCACGGTATGTAATTGTGGCTAAGATCACAGTTACAGTACCTTCCTTTTTATGAAGTTTACATAAGGAGCAATGAGCCTTACTTCAGTTCAGAGGCCTTTCCTGTATTTTGTCAATGCTGTTGCTCCATTTGTACAGATGACAACAAAATTTGACAAAGAAACATCTTCTTAAGTGGTACAGTCATTCACAGCTTTGAATGTATCACTTCCTGTGGTCCTTTCTGTGAGCAGCTGACAGAACACAAAATCATCATAAATGTTTTCTTCAAAGCAGTACGCCTATCTGACAGACACAAGCAGCTGGGGTAAACCTGCAACATCTGTTAATGCAACAAACTGAAGTGCAAATTTTGGACTAGATTCAGATTAGCAGTTTTTCCTTGGTGTCTCCTGACAATGATTACATCTGTCACATCATGGTATTATTAGGAAGAAGAATTGCTTGGCCACAGTTTTCACCTACATAATACTGATGACTTCCAGTAGCAGCCACGTCTCTCCGATGGTATGAGGCTTTTTATTTTTATCAATTAAAAATAAGATCCTATACGAGGCTTGAAGTACTTTTGTGGAAGTACTGACTGCAATTTTCATGAAGTTTAGGTATTTTGCATTTCTAAAAACTTCCATTCAAAGGATTCTAGTGGCTTATTTGCAAGTGATGCATGTCTTCTTGTTAAATACACAAGCATTTAAACTATCGTTTGTGGCAGCTTCAGGGTGTGCAACACACTGTGAATGTTCTTCTCCGTTTACAAATTGACAAGTAAAACCAAATATCAAGAAACCTGATATTTTCTTATCCTTCCTTTTTTACACCAAGACAGCCATGGATTTCTTCCGTAGAACTGCTTGCACAGTTGTCACTGATATGCTCACCACTTTCACACGGTTTTATAAACAAGGAATCCATATTTTTACTCAATGCACAGGCAATTCTGATAAACAAAGGACACAATGATTCCTATATTCTAATAATCTGAACTTCAAAATGTGTATTTTGCATTCATTTGCTCCTAAGAAAACCAACAATCACACCATTATCCTTACCAGAGTGCTCAGGTCAGTTTAATTACTGTTAATGCTCAGACTGACTATCTTTAAACATGTCATACCACATCATCACTACTAAGTGTATTGCTAAATAGCATTATACCGGTTAATGGTTTCAATTTTGGAGAATAATAATTAAGAAAAAGGCATTCTCATAATTTTTATTTTTATGACCACCATTTTCTATTTTACATGCACCACACTGTTCTAGCACAGACATATGTAAGTAGGAAAAGTGTGGAAAGAGGACTGATAGAAGAGGAAGGGAAAATAAAGCATAAATACTCAATACAACAATTTTAAATCTGAATGCCCAGGTCATCAACAAAAAGGACACATTTCTTTGGCTTATAAATGGAGAACTTAAAGAAGAAGCTAAAAGTGAGACAAATGCTGCAGAAGATCAAGAAATTAACACCAGACACTGAAAACTGCAGATAACAGTAAATTAAAACTGTGCTAGCAGTTGATAACAAAGCAGAATGGTAAATAGCAGGATATTCAGCTCTAGATAAGCAAGGCTCTCTAAAACATCACTGTAGGGTGTGCACATGACTACATTTTAATATATGTAAACAATAGTATAGTATTTAATTAATTTTAAATGTATTTTCTGAAATCTACTATGTAATGAACCTTATGGACAAGGTTTGACCCTGGCTCATGGACAGGATACACTTATCACAGTATGTATGTGTGTATACATGCGTACAGTGGGGGGGGGGTTTCCCTTTATTACATTGCTTGCCAATAGCAGAAACCTACAACAGATGAGCACAAAAATATAAAGCTCCTTTCTTACTACACTATTTTCTCCATCATCATTTCACTTCATCCCTCAGAGGTCCAAATATTCTTCTCAGCACCCTGTTCTCAAACACCTTCAATCTGTGTTCTTTCCTTGATGTAAAAGACAAATATTCACATCCATACAAAACAACAATGTGGTGTATTTAAGTTCTACGCTTGTAGATATTAGACATGATGACAAAAGATTCCATCTTTTCTGCATTCCCTGAATTCTTCTGCCCTACATTTTTTTTGAGAATGTAAATTTCATCTGTTACAGCTGTTCCCAAATTTGTTCACTTTGCCACATTTTATAATTATTTAATAGCTATCTTTATATTATTAGTTTTCCTGCATTCTCTTTATGAGACATTAACATGTACTTAGTTTCAACTGTAATTCAAGACCAACTTCCTTATCAACATCTAACAGAGCTTTTTGTTTTTCTTTTGTTATTGCCAAAAAAATTATTATTATCATCAGCAAAGACAATCCACTTCCAATCCCTTTGTGATTTCCTTAACTTTCCTCACAGTGTACTACATAGCAAAGTTAAAAAGAAATGGTCATAAAGCAAATATTTATTTGAGATCATTCTAAAAGGAAATCCATCTCAAATTGAGATTACATGTTCTCACAGAAGGAAGTATAAAGATCAGTCTTCTGGGTTCTTGTGTTGTGTAGTTGATACAGAGATGTTTATCACCATTTCACAGGTGCTTGCTGCCTCCATCAACAAGGCACTCTGTACATGAACTTTAAAAACTATACAATTCTTTATGTAGTTCATAATATTAACATTCCTAGATAATTACTGCATTTGTCATATTTGTTTTAAATAGATGAAATTGTAGGTAGTATATGTGGTTTTCATAGTGGTGAGTACAAAGATGGCTCTCTTCTGAGCTGTAGCACCATATGGTTTGTTAGAAGATTACCAACATTTTTGAGGTGTAGATACAATAGCAGATCCCTTCCACTGCCATTCTGCTACAACCTCTAATGATTTAGGTTCAGGTACTAATGACTCAGCCACATGTATCGCAGTCTGCCTAGGATCATTAACCCCACAAGCATTCAGCAGCTGCCAACAATAATTTTGTCATTGTTCAGGTCACTAATATTCCTGATATGAGTGTTTCCAGCTCAATTATTTTTTCCTCCAGATATTCCCTTTCTTTACTGTCCTAACATTTTGCTAGTTTCATGTCTACATTGTTCATACTAGCTCCATCATTGTAATTAAGTCTGTTCCTTTTGATAATTTTGAACACTCTTCACCAAATCATATTTTATGCTGCTTTAACATACACTCTCCCTGGCTAAACTATGATATTCTCAGAAATACTTTCCCAAGCCCTGTTCATGTCCACACTAATTATAGACTTCAATCTGATAGTTTTCCTTAACTTCTCCATTGTTCAGCTACTAAAATTTAATCTCACCAAACTTTTCCATTGCTAGTTTACTTATTAATTAACTTACAATTTGAAAAGAAAATAAAGATCTTCTGGTACTCCTCCTCAGTAAGGACACTCAAGTCCTGCTGTCGTTCACGGATTAAGTCTTGTCGGTCCAACAGCCACTGCTGACTGTGTAAACACAAATTCATGTTTGTATAAATGTTGCAGCTCAGTTTCATGAACAAGCTACATTCTAGTTTTATTGTGGTATGCCCGTGCTACATTTTTTCGCTATATCAACTACAAGTATCTTACTATGTTGCGTCAGTCATTACAAATTCCCTAAAAACCAAACATTGTACAAATTCATGCCACTGTTAAGATACTTACTTTCAGTACGTATTGAAAACCAAGCTACAAACGCTGATAATATTATGATATTAATTATACTCACTGATGAGAACTCTCCCAAAAATTTCCTGCCATTGTGGTGTCGTTCTGTGGTTAATGTCTTATTTACTATGCAACATCAAAACAATACACAATTTTATATAATTTTCTAAATAGGATTCTTCCATATAATTTTATTTAAATTAACTACGAATCAATTCCACTTCGTCTGAAGAACTGATAATAAAGTAAATTCACCGGCAACAGTACAAAATATTAGCATCCCTCCCGTGTTTATTATAACTCGAACATTTTATTTATACTACGGATTGCGGGTACTGTCAAATTTCTTCTTCTTGTTTGTATTATTTCAACAAATGCTTTCGATTATGGTCAGCGTGGAACAAATGACAATCCACGGCATGTAGTGTGATCACGCGCGATCCGTGGAACTTGTAACAATTTCTCTATTCTTTGCGTTTTTTTAATTGTCTCAAGAATTAATGTTGGTATTGTATTATTCTATAAATGTTGTCTCGCCACTTATCACTAACATAGATTGGCAAGGCTCACCTGCTAATTCATTTGATCCTTACTAATTTATTAGACATCGATCACAGGTGACAGTAAAACACATAACGTGCAGGAAAAGGTTAGTAGGAGTTTTAATGTTTCCGAAACACTGACTAATTACATTTTATCCTCATTACACTAGGTGAGAGTTCAGGTTCTCATGGCGACGTGTATGACTTACGGGATGTTGCGACGTATAGCCCGTTTGAGGTTTACCAATGTTTCAGTCTCATCGCCATGACGATGGAAGCAGTAAGCACCGCTGAAACGTTGGTGAATTTATACCAGGCTACAGGCTTCAACATCCCAGATGACAGTCAACCCCATCACACTAGTTAAGAACATTCCAAAACAAACCAGACAAACTATGTGGCTGATAATCTAGCATATTGCTGTTAAAGAGAGATGTGTGAAGGGTTATTTTATAAATATTAGTTTCTGATGAATGCAATGTAAATTATCCCTCATATAATAATATGTTCATTATTACAGTATTTTGTGCTTTTGAGTAAATGTTTACTTTCTGTTTAATTGGGTACTGTATGAATTTGTATTGGTATAATAGTTATTTTTGTGACATGTCCTATGCCAGTTGTATGTTGATCTACAGACTGAATAAATAATAATGTAAAGTAAGTCAGTAGTGAAGACATCCTGCTTTGAATTAATGTAACCTATTAAAAAAGTAAAGCTGCCCCTCTGTATGCCATGCAGGCACTTTGGTGGGGAGAGATGGTATAGCTCCTACTCATTTCTCCAGTCCATAGTCAGTCTATATACTGACTGAGCTGCACCGGGTCATGAAAATAACCTCTTTTTAACTTAATACATGTTTTGATGTTAGTAACAAATTTCTTGAAGTTTGTTTTGTCAAAATTTAATGCATGTGTATTGGCTTTAAACCATTTGTTCATGACAGCAAAACGTTCATTAAAGAATTTTAAAAGTAGGCATCATCAGGATGATAAATAATGCCACTAACATCAGTGTAGAGTATAATCTTGGACTAAGAATTGATAGTTTGGAATAGATCACTGATACATAAGCGGAAGAGAAGAGTTCCAAGTATGTGTCCTTGCTGCTCATATCCAGGAGTCCTGGTTTCATTCACTAGAGGTTCTTGCAGCAGGTTAAATATATAGGAAAGAAATGGTAGAAATAAACAAATATATTAAATAAATAAATATTTGAAAAATTGATATACTAACATGATTGTGTTTTTTGTAGGTTGCACAAATGAGTAAATATTCCAGTGACTCTGATTCAAGTAGGGGGAATAACCATAGTCGGCGCAGCAAGATGAGAAGAAGGTATGGGTGTGGGTGTGTTTGTGTGTGTGTGTGTGTGTGTGTGTGTGATATAGTCCAACATGCTAAGATTTGTTTAATACAAAATTAATTTACCAGATCAAGAAGTTCTTCTGGATCAACTTCTGACAGCTGCTACTCCAACAAAAGGAAATCTTACAAGCACAAACGAAGCAAAGGACATCGTTCAAGAAGTCGAGATAGACATGGCAAATCCCGGTAAGAAATTCATATCTGATCATTCCACATTGGTATTCCACCCTATCTGGAGCATTTGGGATGATATTTTTGTCCTGGGGCAGTCTCCTTGCAGCTTGACAAGTTGTCATAAGTTTTCAGATTGCATTTTTTTTGGTACTGCTTAAGGCAAATGAACCCATATGATAGAACAATTTAGATTCATGTTTTCCTTGCACCTCCATCTAGTTCCCAGGTTAAAATTATATGTATCTATACCTTTGTGTGTGATACATACCTTCAGTGCATAGTTTTGGGTACTGTTTTGTGTATTATTTAGAAGTTATTAAGTCTTCATGATGTACATTTTCTGGCTTCCTTTTCAATTTATGTAACAACTCCATAACAACTTCAACACTGATTCATACAATTAACATAGACAGCTCCATCAGATATGTTATATCTCTTTCTCTGTTTCTCTATACATGGTATAACTTAAAGGTCTGATATAAATATAAAGGTAAGCACTGCACACCAGAAGAGTAAAGAAAATCTGTATGAATCTGGAGAAGCCTGTTTTCCAACTTACACTCCTTCCCTTTTTGAAATGTCGTACCTTCATTGCTTTCCCTCTACACTTGGAATGGTGAGACCACAAATCAAAAGAGAGGAAGTGTTTTTATGTGCCCATGAGAACTTTTATGTATGCAGCTGATGGAGAGGGAGTTCATTCAATGCTTATGCTTTGCTATTTATATTTGGGATAGGGTTAAAAAATATAGATAAATGACTATGCAATATACTAATGGCTCCTCGTTCTTGAGAAGGAATGATTTTTAAATGTGCTCAAAGTATATGGACACCATTTTGAATTGAAGTATTATCATAGTTGCCCTCGCCCAAAACAACTTACTGACCCCTGCACTTTATTGTCAGCAGCACCAGCACTACAAGTGCTGTATGTGATTGAGTTTAAAAAATCCATATTGTCTCTGCCCTCTAAATTTAATTTGCTTTGTCAAGCAAATGGCAATCATAGAATGTCTAGTGTTAAACATTATTTAAATAGTGAAATTGAATCTCGGTTTTAAAATTAAAATAAATTAATGCCGAGTGTTTCATGAAAATTAATGTTTATTCATTCTAATGACAGACATGGATCTCTTTTATGGGCATCCAGTGGCAATGGTAAGGAAGCCAGGCAGGTCCACCAGCAAATCTTTTGACAGTAGTCACTTCTAAGTAGGTACTGTAAACACTTGCTATGAAATTTCCACTCCGGGTACAGATGGAAAACAAGTGTGATGCTACATCAGAAATATTTGGGAGGAATAAGATTGGCTGTAACTCAGAATGGTTTTTCACATCCACATATCAGCATTTTCCACTATTTTAGCATGTAGAAATCACCCTAGCATTATGCCAATCTGCATTATTTTGATGAGTAATATGTACAAAAACTTTAAAAAAAAGCTAGTCACAGAAATGACGTTACCTTTTGGTGCAGTGTAACCTGTGCTTCTGATAGCATCATAAAATAAAAAATAAAATAAAATTAATCTCATGATACAATTTCTAGATAGGTCTACTATATACATGTATTCCCCTAGCCTATATTAATTGTTTTTTTACTTTTATTCTTTTCATGCTACTTCTCCTCTTCATAATTTTAAATGTTGGATTCCTTAGTGACATTTTCACAATGTCTGTCATACAGTTCATTCATGGCTTGTTACCCGTTTGAAACATTCTTCCTTGCTGTTGTGCTTTTATATGTTGATCCTAATAGATGGTGGACATCACATTAAATAACATTTACCCTTTAAATTATGGTTACAATTAATTTAATTGAAGTACTTCACCATAACCAAACCTTGATATTATGAATGCAGGACAACTAGTATACTTCCCCATACATTCAGTTTTAATACTGTTAAAACATTTCTGTTAACAGCAGTCGGCATCACACCAAGACTTCAGACACCTCGCGGAGCTTGAGGTCCCGTTCAAGTAGCAAAGGGCACAGTCACAGGTCATCCAGAGACAGATCTAGGTCAGGAGAGACAAGATCCACAGGGCGAACACATTCAAGGTCAAGATCAAGATCAAGAGACTGGTCGAAACGAAGATCAGTATCTCGGTCAAGATACCGGTCACGATCTAGATCCAAAGAAAGGAGCAGGTACAGATCAAGATCTCACTCAAGATCAGCTTCCAAGAACAAGTCTAACTCTCCATTCAGAAGAAGGTCAAGCTCTCCTGGGTCAGTGAAGCAGGAGCCAAGCACCGAGGAGCAGCTACGGGCCAAACTGCAGCGTGCAATAAAGGCAGCTCAGTCAGCTGATGATCAGCTGAGGCAGCAAGGCTTACTGACGGGAGGATCTTCTCGTAAAGAAGAACTGTACCGAGGTGATTTACCATGCAATATTGAATCCACTAAATTAGATGTATCTCAGAACACAATACTACTTACAAGAGGAAGGATAAAGTTTATAGAAACCAGACACTATCTTCTGTATGTTTATTTTAACTTTTATAGCAGGAAGTGCTATATCTTCTCTTCCTCCAGTAAGGAATATATAACGAAAATTTTAACTCTGATATTTAAACCCCAAGGGAGATGAATGAAGTGGAGAACTGAATATAATTACATAATAAGGAATTTTTTATTAACTCACCTGTCATTATTAGGGTACTTGTAAACTCTGATTCCATTAAGATTTTATAAAAAAAATATTATATGAAACTTTGTTTAAATTTATTTTCATTACACAGTTCACTGATTTATATTAACAATAATAAATAGTTAAGTGAAGTGTGTGTTTAAAGATATTATCACTTTGCCTTACCACTGTGGATTACAATGTTTTTTATATATTTTTCCTGGGAGTCATGATATACTTCACACATATTTGAACAAAACAAGTGAGAAAAATGAATGCAGTGGGTAAGATTTGGGCATTTTCAATTTGTGACACTTCTCTAGTTGTACTATGGTTTTAGTTACAATATTTTAATATTAATTTAATGCCTGTATTTTCACATATGATAGTCACATCTTACACAAAAATATTGTTTAAATATATGATGTCTTTCGCATGGTAATTTGTTACGCTGCCAGAAGAGTAGTCTTTTTGTCGTCCATGTGGGAAATTTTGTTAATCTAGTAGGAATGCTCTCAAGCTGACCTCATTTTATTTAGATTTGCACTTTTCATGCTTCTGGTCGTCACTGCCCCTTATTTCCTTCCTTGATTTACTCTAGAGCTATTGTATATCACCTAAACACAAATTTTCTTACAAAAACTTATCATTACTGTACGTGCAAAATGTCATGACAAGGAAACAGATGAAAGCCTGCTACCAATTTCTAACATTTGCAATCAAGAATGAGTTCATAATACTTCAGCAATGTAATCTCACAACTCCACTTATATATGAAAGAACAGATGAAAGTTTCATTCTAAACACAGACCATAACATTAAAGAAGAAATACACATAACATCACATTTTGCTTTTTTAGTTTCAGAAAAGAGTATTGAAATTTTCTGCAAAATATAAAAATTGGTTTGGTGCTTCCTTTAGGTCAGTTCATTGCCTTGGACAAGTGTCCAGCCCTACAACTCCCTGATATAAATGGCATTATGAAGGTCATTATACAATATACACTATATGATATTTAGCTTGAGTTGAAATAAAAATGTGTACAGAACTTTTGTAGGGAATCCTGTTGAAATAATGAGATAAGGAAGATAGTATTGAAATTAATCTCAAAAACCTAAGTTGTGGGTTGTGTCTAATGGATTGGTTGCAGATCCCATCCCTCCAGTGTGCCAGGCGAATATTTTAGATGAGATCAACGATCCAGGGTTTGTTCCCAAGCGCTTCATTTCCTCAAAATCAACTGCAAATCAAGTGTCTGACACACCTGTGATTGACTTGACTGTAGATGCACCTCCTCCAGTGGTACAGGTTACAGAAGACCCAAAAAGCATCTTCCACACAAGTGTGAGTATTGTCACGTAATCTTTTGTACAGATTCACTTCATGTCACTGATGAAGGAATTCAGAACCCATGGCAGAAGTGCAGAAACACATCCACCATTGTCTGACCAACACTTTATGCACATTTCCTTTGAACTCACTCTCTTTCAACTGACCTTCCTTTGAGAGTCTAATAGTCACGCATTAGTCAAATTGCCTTTTACATAACCTGAGGGTTCATTACTGTGTTTATGAGACCCACCAGTGGATCTTACCTAGAACCAGTTGAAACTAGTTCATGTTCTTTTTTAAGAGCATTTTAATGCTTTTCTCCTACCTGTGTCTAGGTCTCAAATGTGGTGCCTTTCTTTACCCAATGCTAGGCTAGAACTATAAAGGTTTCAGAAGATTACAGTGTTTGTGGGCTCAGAAGCACAGTCAGAGCTTCTTGAGTTATTTGAGCTTATATACTCTTGAAGGCAAATAAGACCCATTATCACAGAACAGTGATTACGAGCTGCAGTTAAATGGAAACTGTTTTTAGCGCGCGTCGTAAGCATGTGACCACAAGCAGTGGCACACTATTGCTGTGAGTTATAGTGAGCCCAGAGCAAGAAGACTGGTGAAATTTTAATTTTGGCACTAGATGATCCATGCATGATTTTACATCACATCCTGACAGAATTAAAAGACAAATTTCTGGATGGCTACATGATCAAAATATGTTAATAGTACGTGTGAATGCTAGGACCTGATCTTTTGTTTGCAACCTCTCTCCCCAAAGAAAAATGACCTGTGAAGTTCAAACGAAAAGTCAAAATCACTCATACTTTTAAAATAACAGGCCCTTGAAAAATATTGGTTTTCATTTTTTACACAAATAGTAATACCAAAAATTATGTTAAATCATTCTCAGTTAATTGATCTTTAGGTTTTATAGTAATTAACACCTGCTGCAGAGTAAAGTTGTGTGGATGGTAAATGTTAAAATGGTGTTAATGGTGAAAGGTCCATTACAAAGTGTGCTGCACCAAATCCAGGCTAAACCTTGCCATAGCTGTCAGGCTGCCAGCTTCTCACCGTGGGTACTTGAATTTATGCCCAGAGCAGTCCATGTGAGAATATGGTGGACAGAGTGACACCACTGGGACATGCTCTTTTTTATTTTTCTGGTTTTCCTTGTCAGTATCATTCCACCACTATATTAACTCATGCATTCATCTGAGGCTGTACAGTACACCCGTAGCAGCTGCAGTTGTATACAAACATGCTCCCCACTTTGCAACAATAATAATACAATGTTCCTGCATAAGTTTGGTATTTTGGTTACCATGACCGATAACAGAATTCAGAGCATGTACTGTATTTGTCAATCTCATGGGAACATTAATTTGAGTTTCCCAACAAGAGTTTTGTTCTAAAGTAGGCACTAAGGGCATCTTCACTGGATTTGTGGTTTTCTGGATTCTTGCACTTTGTAGTATTTTGGCTATATGCTAATATTCTGGGCGAATATACTGCCTCCATCTTCAGGGGCTGTAAGTGAGGAATGGTAGGAAGTGGATTGTTCACATAGTGTGAGGAGAAAGATCATATCTATTACAGAAGCCCTAGTCTGAACTGGTTCATAACTTATTTTTGCAATACCTATTTTAATATTATCACCCAATTTCTTTCAGCTGACCCAGGACCCACAGACGAAGCTGGACAGATGGGTCAAGAAGCTGTTCCATCTGCGTCAGAAGGCTATCAATGGAGAACCACTAGCATAAATGTTTTATTTATAATAATGTTGAATAACATAAACTCACATTTCAATAACACAAACTCACATTTCATTCTCTGATTACTTAGTTCCAACTTTACAGATATGTATACATCAAGAAACAAATGAACATCCAACTGGGAACACCTCAGATGGCTACTATCTTCTACTTTCCTTGGTCATGCTTTGTTATTACCAAAACAAATACAGCTACAATATCATAAAAGGTGGGAGTGCATCTTATTGAAGTTGTAATACTCAATCCCTAACATAATTCCTGTCACTAGTTGCAATCTAATTTAAACAAATAAGATAATACCACAATTCTTTTAAGCCACACATAAAACCCTGGCATCGAATCAGTCTTTGGTCTATGCTTGACCCTACCTTAGAAGGAAACAAATGAACATACATAAATCTGGAAGCATATTAGCAATTATACAAATTTTCTTATTTATATATAATGTGTAACATACTTCAATGCCTAAGGGCTGGACTGCACTGCTTCCGAAGCAATAGCCTCTTTCACATTGACAATATTAAACTGAAGAATTTTGTCCCCTGCATACACTGCAAACAATTTGTTGTCCTCTTCTGCACTCCTCTTGAATACTGAAATACAAACACATTTTTCAACCACAATTACCTCATACAATTTCAGGAACCCACAGTGAATGGCACCAATATTACACTCACCCCAAATGAACTGCATATAGGTAACCCCTTAGTTGTGTAACCTTCCGACAGCTTTCCATAATTATTACCTGCCACTGGTGACTAAACAATCTACTGACTTTGCATCTGAGTACTTCAAAAAGGTACAACTTAAGAGTAAAATTCTGTCACATTATATAATTTTTTCCAACTTCACTGTTCCTGTATAACTCCAGCTTCTGGGTGAGAGCACCATCGAATGTTTGGTACTAACTAGTGTTTTGGTAAACGCTGCAGTTGCCGTTTACAAGGTGGGTATGAGGTGGGGGCCAGCTGTGAGGGGCTGATCCTACAAACAAACCTTTATACAAAGGCAAAGATGCAGGGGTGCTGATCACTCAACAGATACACTCAGTTGGAATAGGTGTAAGGGTTTGTAGGAATAATGCTGACCTTGCAGGCTTCCTTACAGATATGCATGTGCCATACCACATTCACAATATAACAAGACTGAAAAGGTGAAATGTACAGGGTGGGTGGGAAGTAAGTAGGCATTAAGAAATTGTTATAATATAGAAATATACGAGGTTATAACCATTTCTCAATGCCTACTTACTTCCCACCCACCCTGTATTATGGAATACAGGTGCCATATCATGCATATACAGTGAAACCTCGATACATCATTTTTGGAGGGGGCGGCAAATAAAAACGAATACAGGAAAACGATAGTTGCGGGAAAGCATTAAAAATAAAAAAAGTTAATTTTTCTCTTTGGTATACACAAAATTTGTTTCAAAGTTACTTCTTTTTATCAAAAAAGTCTTTAATGGACAACCGGTTTGTCGAAACTTTACGTTTTGGGCCAAACAGAGCCCTTTCCACGTTCAAAATGTTTTCCTCGTCACGTTCACTAATATTAAGCGCATAAAAGAACGACTTCACTTTCGCCAATGCAGCGTGTGCTTCGGCAAAACTCGGCAAAGCTTCGGGCTCGCATTCGTCGTCTTCCTCTTCCCTTGAGGTCATTCTTGAACTACCATCTGATCTGAAATGTAACTTCACTTTCTACCAAACATATGCTTTAGTTTCCCCACTAACTAACTAACTAGATGGCTTACCGAACCAGAAGGTTCATCACCGAATTAACCAAAGCCCTCTACCAGACCCTGACCTGGGCCAACAAAATCCAGTCTCAAACTCCTATATCCCATAGATCCCACCCGACATTATCCTCCCATCTACATCTAGGTCTCCCCAGCGGTCTCTTCCCCTCAGGCTTCCCAAATAGTGGACCCAACCAACCAGATGGCTTACCGAACCCGAAGGTTCATCACCGAATTAACCAAAGCCCTCTACCAGACCCTGACCTGGGCCAACAAAATCCAGTCTCAAACTCCTATATCCCATAGATCCCACCCGACATTATCCTCCCATCTACATCTAGGTCTCCCCAGCGGTCTCTTCCCCTCAGGCTTCCCAACCAATACCTGGTGCACACCTCTTGTCCCATCCATGCGCGCTACATGCCCTGCCCATCTCATTCTTCTCGACCTAATCACCCTGACAATATTGGGGGAGGAGTACAGATTTTTAAGCTCATCATTATGCAGTTTTCGCCATGCTCCATCGTCTTCTCTATTAGGTCCAAATATCCTCCTCAACATCCTATTCTCAAACACCTGCAATCTGTGTTCCTCCCTCTGAGTGAGAAACCATGTTTCCCACCCATACAAAACAACAGGCAAAATTATTGTTTTGTATACTTTAATTTTCAGGTTCCTAGAAATCAGACGGGAAGACAAAATATTTTGAACTGGGAAGTAGCACGCATTTCCAGAATTTAGTCTCCTAACTTCCACATGAGTATCATTTTGATTTGTTATTGTTGTTCCCACTAAGAACTAGACTTGAAATAAATATTTTTTGGATTTGAATTTCAGAGTACTTGTTCCTCATCACCATCACCAACTTAAAACCTGTTACTCACCAGAGGTTGTAACCTTCTCCAACATATATGTAGGGAATCCACTGCACTCACGAGAGATGTAGTAGCCCACGTTCTCAAAGTCAGTAATAGGAGGTGTCACCACACGCATAGTTTCCCTCACCACATCAGTGTCCACCTCATAGGAACCTGAAACACACAGAACCATGCTGTGACAATGCATCGTGTGCAGCCAGTAGTGTGTGGTTCTTTACACAATGCACATACCATCCCACAATTTCCTGATGAGGTCAAACATAGATCTTGGGAGTAGCACTCGCTGGCGATTCAAAGGCATCACAAAGCATCGATGTCCATCCATATCGATGATTCCAGTCTTGTTCTGCAAACACAAGTATCAGGATCACTTCCCAAAATATGTGTTATGTATAAAAGTCTGGAATTCCTTGTTACAGCCCCAATAACATACGTACCGAACTGAAATCATGAATGAAACGTCCTCTTTGGCCATCCCGGAAGTCAGGCACGTTGATCTTCTCATACTTCTCATTTTCCAAATCAATTTCAAACTCTTCTTGAAAAAATCCATTACTTTTATCTTCATCTTGGGAGGATTTTGTCAGGCTCTGGAAACAAAGTCAAACTCATTGATATTAACTTCAGCTTTGTCAGAAAACTGGTATTTTTTTTTTAGGTAAACTATATCTAATAGCATATTTATCTTACTCCTTTGTCTATTTCATTTATGCTACCACTGTGAAGCACTAGCACAGAAGTTTAATCTTTTCAGATATTTACATTTAAATATTATTAGATTCTACTACATTAGGATGGTAAAGATACTTTTAACCCTTATTCTTTCACTTCTCTGCTAAAAGAATATAATTTTAAGGAAAAGATTTCAATTCATTACAAGGGTCAAATTATTATGTGTATGAGTAAAAATTACCAACGGACCAATCAAATACTCAGTGTTACAAAAGACTTCTTTATAATGTTATAACCACTTAAAACTAATGAAAGCATTAATCAAAACATGAAACGTTTTCCTAGCTCAGAAAGCAAAGTCAGATGTCACAGAAAAAGGGGAAGATCACTGTTTGATGTGGACTGAAGTCAAATTTCACATTATACAGTATGTCGCAGCATAAGGGGTAACTTTAATACCAGTATACCATTAAAATAACTGAAGGGTAAAACAATAACCAGTTCAGCTCAGAACCTGGAAGATTTTTGAAGAAAAAAAATGGAGAGATGGCATCTTCAACCTTTGACCACAACATATCTCAAGCCAGCGCACACTGTGTTGCCTGAGATATCACAATTTGTAATTATGCTCTTTTTTCTTCTCCTTTCTTACTTTTCTCATATGGTCAGTGGTAACTTAGGAAATACCTGTTAAAATTACACACCTAAGCAGTGTGTACATTACCTTGAACAAATCATGGTCTGCAAAGTGGGACGCATGGTGCTGGTTGGGGTTGGTCTGATCATCCATGTACATTGTTGCTTTGGTTCCCTCATATGGAATGGTGCACCAGCCACGGAAACGGTGCATCTGCAAAGCGAGATTGTGTCAGTTCATCCCCAGCACAAGATTATGTATGAGATAAAATTACAATACAGAACAAAGTAGATGGATTCTACTAAAAACCTCTGTCTAATGCCAACAATTTGTGCTTTCACTTAAAAAAATTTGGACATGCTGGAATTCAATTAAGGCATAACATGTAGCCTACATGGTAAAATTACAAATATATCCCAAGAAATTTTGTTCAAGATGTATTCAGGAGGTACCACATATGGACAGATTCCTTATCGAGGAAACAAACCTACCTTGTGACTGGTAATAGGAAGGAGGTTACTGGTTTAACACAAGGGACCAATAAAGTAGGAAATCTACTGAATGCCTGCTACATGTGTATCATGAGCACTTACTGTCTGATCATAGATACATATGCTTTCATGTAACACAGAACTAACTAGTCACATTTAGGAACCCCATGAGAACCACCAAGATTCTTAGAAAGATGACCTAAAGGTACATCCTGAGGCAATGCAATGAAACATTTACTCAGTGCCAGATGCAGAACTGATTGCAACAGGCCATCCTTTCATTCCATAAACAGAACTGTCTAGCAAGGACTTCTCATTCACCAAATAATTTGCTTTGGTGGAAGAAACAGCTGAGCAGCCTAAGAGTCAAAACAACGAAGCTATTTAATAAGTCAAAAATAACAGGTAAATGGGGCTCTACAAACAGGCTCTCACCTGATGATACCGTTCTTCTCGGTTTTGGTGTCTCATGTTTCAGAGAAACATACTGTCTCCATCTTCTGAGTTGAAGTGTGTACCTTTAAGTGAGCACTTTACCAACACCTGCTTTGATTAAAAAAGATGACCACCAGCCTATTGACCCACCTCTGCAAATAGGCAGTGTCATTATAACAGAGTATGTGATGGTAAGTTATACCATTATTCCATACAAAAACTAATCTTCCTGTCTCTACTTCACAATCCTAACGATGACAAACATTCTAAATTCCTTTGTTGTAAAAGGAATTTTACTTGGATATGAACCAAGGCTTGTTTGTCTACACTGATACAATGATGAACTATGTATTTAACAAAATATTCATGGTAAAAGATGCTACAGAAGTGAGCTGGAAAGCAGGTCATCCTGACAGAAATGAAGGACTAATCTGCTACACAGATAGGTCCAAGACGTCTGCAGGCACTGGTGCAGAATGTTGTGCCAGTAGAGTTAGCAGGTAAGTTATTAAAACCACCTTCTGTCCACATACACTGCAAAATTAGAGTGAAAGTGCGGTCCCAAAGAAACATTATTTTGAAATTTGTGAAGTTTGAAGAACAGCATATCAAGAAAGCAAGCCCAAGCCTCTTTGCTCAGACACTGCCCTCTTGTCTAGAGTGAGCAGAACAGGAATTTTCAGCACTCCTCTAACAATGTAGCACAGAGGTCTGTTCACCAAGCAGTGCTAAGCCTATGTGAGGAGCGACTAGCTGGAAGGTAGAACTCAGTAGCATAAGATATGTAAAGGTAAAGAGATTTCACACCGCATTAAGGTTACTGATCATTATTAATTAAAGTTTTTTTACTTATTTGTTACCTGGGTTCTCATTTCTGAAACAAATGATGTAAGAGCAGAGATTAAACACCAGATAATGCTAGAAAATATATGTTGTTATGGTTTAAGAAAACACCTAGGGTCCCATCTCATTAGAGTGAGAACAAAGTGCTTCTAATGAAATAACATAAATCTGGAAGACATATAACTTTATTCATGGAAGTATGTATCACCAGAGGCAACTTTAATTACTGGGGAGGACAGGATGGGAACTTCAAGATCAACAAATTTTCAGATATTCTGGGAAAATGGTTTGACGTGCTAGGCACTTGAAAATCAAGTTTCTTTTCCAAACCTGCCCATGCACTCATATTCAATACCTAAACCCCAACTATACTGAATGTCATCATAGAAAATTCCCATGTTATTTTTTCATTCTCTAGTTCCTGGCGACATACAAGGCTGTCACACTCTCTTATCTCAAAACTGATTACTAGGGTTAAAGAGCTTGCATCTGCGACATTCCTTCCTTCCTTATACTACTTTATATGCTTCTTTTAGCTTTCTGTGTCAATTTCCTTACTCTTTGCTTTCAAACACCCTTCCTCTCTGTCAGTAACTTGCTTCCAAACCCATCACTTGGCAAGGGCAGTATTTGATGCTGTTCATTATATTCTCATTTGTTTCTGTACTCCCTAGTCCCAGGCACATGTGCTATATGCCCTTACGCTGACAAACGCAAAAATAAAGGTTTAAAACATCCAATTTTATATCTTTAGGCAGAGTACTAACAAGAATATTCAGATGTAAGACCTAAACAGAGTAAAATGTATCTTTGTTACCAAAGCAAGAACAATGAGCTGGAGCCATTCTACCCTCATTCATTGGAATCATCTACAATCAATAATTCCTACATTGCAGCTGTGATAATGAGTACGTACTACCACTACAAAATGTAAGATCCTTCACAACCTTTAGTACAGATTAAGTATATTACATCTCAGTGTTGAAGGTTCGTTGTAAGAACAAAGTTGTAATGTACATCTCATCAACAGCTGTCTAGACAAAGCAGAGTTCTGTAACAGACATGACAAGAATAACAAAGTGCCATGTTACAAAAAGTGATGGCAGACATGCCTGCTTACCTGTGACCTGGCAAACTGCCGATACAGATACGCACCGCCAATGATGCCAACACTCATCACCAACAGGGCAGTAAGGAAAATACAAACAGTTGTGGCTATGGAGACTCGACGTGCACGAGCCTTCAGAACAAAATACTGTGGTCGTAACTGAGTGCCTGCCTCCAGATCCACCTTAGGTGGCTGAAACATTCAAGCAATCACAGTTCCTTTCAAACACTGCTATCTTATGTTGAGATATAATATTCTCACAGCAGTGACAATGTTGACCTATGGATAAATTCAGCCTTAAAGATGGAAGAAGTATGTTCCACCAAAATGTTGGTATCTACCAAGCCCACCTGGTGTTTTAACCCAGAAGGTGAATAATGTCATTACTGTCTTAGTTGTCTGTTGTTTTATATGATTACCATTTGGTATCAAAAGATATTTTAAAATAAACGTCTCATAAAAATGATCAGACCTAATACAACAGTAAATTGCACATCATGAGAAAATCAGTTTGCTTTGCTGTAGACAGACACTGTCCATGTTCTATTACTGAACTTGAAGAAGTGACATCATCCACATGACAAATATGCATTTTTAAGGAAAATTACCTGTGCAATGGATAGAGGATATTATAGCTAAAATCTTTACAATGCAGTGATGTTACATGAGCCCCTTTTGCATATACACTGTCTTGACCGTTAATCAGGGTAGCTCAGTCAGTATAGTGACTGACTACAGACTGAATGACTGGGGTTCAATCCCCAATGGGGGCAGAGCAGTTTTCCCCTAGCCTCTGCATCCAGACTGGCTCTGGGACCCACCCAGTCTATCCAATGGGTACCAGGGTCCTTTCCTGGGGTAATGCAAGACCGGGGCATCCAATGCCGAGGTTAAATATGAGTAGGAGCTACACCTCCTCTCCCCCAGTTTTCCCCTAGCCTCTGCATCCAGACTGGCTCTGGGACCCACCCAGTCTATCCAATGGGTACCAGGGTCCTTTCCTGGGGTAATGCAAGACCGGGGCATCCAATGCCGAGGTTAAATATGAGTAGGAGCTACACCTCCTCTCCCCCAAGCATCTTCATGGTGTATAGTGGGACAGCTTTACTTTACTTACTGTCCTGAATAATTTACACTATATATAAATAGATATTTGCAGTTGTACTATTGAAGTTACAAGCTATTATTTCTTCATGTTCAGACATAATATTTTTCAAAATGTATGAGGATGGTCATTTGGTAACATTTACTGAGAGAAAAGTTAGAATGAAGCAAATTATTAAATGTAATGGAACACACTTGTAACAAGTGCTGTTACATTTCAATGAAAAGACATACTGAAATGTATTCCATGGGTGCTACAGCACTGCAGCTTTAACTTCAATATCACATATCATATTCATCTCAACAACTTTTGTCATCTGTGATATCAGGGTTCATAAACATTATTAATTACAAAATTCCAAACAAAAAATGTATCGGTAAAAGTTCTGATGACAGTGATGATCAAGAAACTGGTCAAAACATCCTATCCAACTTCTAGGCAGCTGCTTATTCCAAGTGAAAATGGGGCAGTGCGCCATACTGGTAGTAGATTGAACAACCAGGAAATCCTTCTCTCACCTAGGTCCATAGCCCAAGCTCCACCATGTCTAGGTATTCCACACTTGTGAGAAGTTCATCTCCATCTCCCCCATGCACACTTCTTACCCTGTCAATCTTATTCTTGATTTGAATAATATTTGTGAGGAGCACAAATTATGAATATCAAATCTAAAACTTCTTGACGATGGTGAAGAGTCAATTGAATAAAATTTTTTGATATTATCCATCGTCTAGTAAATATAAAACGTAAAACGACGTTTTGGAGATGGGACTCTATCTCCGTCTTCAGGTTCCTACACAGTTGGGCCCACTAGATAGAGCTAATCCCTATCTCCGGAGATGGGGATTAGCTCTATCTAGTGAGCCCAACTGTGTAGGAACCTGAACACGGAGATAGAGTCCCATCTCCGAAACGTCATTTTACGTTTTATATTTACTAGACGATGGATAATATCAAAAAAATTTATTCAATTGACAAATTATGAATCTTATAAAAATCATTTCAATGATGTTCTTTAAACAACATATTATTTATTGCTACCATTACACAAAACTAATAGTAAAATCATAAAACATTCACTTCATTAATAATAATAATAACAACATATTTCGATAAAAAAGTATCATCAGGCCAACATGAAATAGTAATTAACCAAAATTATTCTTAAAAATAGGAAAAATGCATCTGAATGTGTTGTAAATGGACCCATCCATTGCACAAAAATGTGCAATTTATGAATAAAAATTCTTCAAACAGTATTTTATTTTAACACTGATCTATGCTCTAAGTTTTGTTAAAATAAATTATTATATAACATTTTTTATTTATAAATAGTACAATTTTGTGTAATGGATGGATCTGTTTCAACTCAAAGTGCTGAATGTTACAATACACTGTGTATTTATTGTGTTTTTAAACTATAAACTCAAAACAAAAACTTATTATTGACAACCAACACATTTTCCTGTACGAGCACATAGACTATGAATATTCAGTCTTTACATACACATTTATTTTCAGTTATTTAGATTATTTCTGTAATTCTTCCTTGATTATTCTACAAATTTAATCCAATATTTAGAGTGGCAAAAAGTCTTGAAGGCAACTGTACATGTTCAACATTCAGAGCAAAATAAATACAACCTTTGTCCCTGGTTATGATTACAGAACATTATTTTATCAATAACAACCACAAGCACTTTGTAATCACAAAAGCAAAAATGGCATAAGGCATACAGTTCCATACCTAGAATAAAACCCCTTTAGCACACGTGCCACATGAACAAGAAAGCTGCTTCAAAGAATCAGTTGTGACTCAAACTGGTGTCAGAGATCACAACAATTCATTTTATATTAAACAAGAAGCTTTGTTTCTATACTGGAAATAAATGTTATTCCACACCCTCCATTGTAACAGAGTTCACTTGAGACTTTGAAACACCTAAGCCTGTATGCACTGTTTAGAGTCAAGAGGAAAATGCAGTCTAAAAATAACTTTATACTGTGGTGTGTTCAGATAAGAATTCTTTCATTCCACTTCCCTCATTCATGACTGCACAGCTGAGAGGTCAAGGCACGACATCCACAAGCCCGGATATGAAAGACTGACTGTGTGGGAATATGACAAAGACTCTGACAAAAGATGACCTGACAGAACAATCCCTATTTCCACCAAGAATGGCATCCCATGAGGTGCCCCAGACAAAATATGTGACGAGAATGATGACATTAACCCCACTTGCATTTGAAGGGGTGTCCAAGTTGGGACAACTGACAAACAGTTCAAATAACAGTGTCCATCAGTTCACTGTTGAAACACCTCGCAAAAGTTAGAATGTGGCAAACCAAACTAGCAAGGACTCAAATGCATACAGCATTTTCATGTATGCATCTGTTATCATTCTGCTTGTGGGGACCAACAGATGTTACCACCAACACTTACACACATTTGATGATGGACTTTCTACACTACTTTACATTACTGAATCTGAAATGTTTCTGGTGTTGGTAATTAGTAGTAAAATAGAAACGACATATAAAACAGTTTGGTCGATGATTCAACAGTTCCTTACACCTTTTTTTGCACAATGAAGCATGACAAGTCCTTTTATATTATTCAATTATTGCACTTTTAAAAAATGACAACACTACTGACAAAAGAGATCCAAGCTATCACTATGGAAAGGAAGGGTTTTTTGACGTAAATACGTCTATAAGGAAGGGTCATTTGGCAAAAAAGTGAAACGAAAAAGTGTAACAATGGTTTACCAACAAATAAACAACAATGGTTACCTAAGGAACATCTATTTACTCGGCATTTTTGTTACCTAGGAAACATCATCTGTTTACTCGGCATTGTTGTTACCTATAAAACATTTCATTACATTACCTTACCTTACATTACATTACATTCAGCTACCACAGACCCATTTTAAGCGTAACTAATTCAAGCTGATTAAGCAATGTCTTAATCAAACTTATCTCAATTGTAAAGCATGTATACAGAAAATATTTAGAATAAAGCCAATATATAAACTTCCTTTCCGTATAGACGTATTTACGTCAAATTCTCCGGAACCGTGGTTCCACTGACAACTTTTTCTTTTCTTTTCCTCTTCTTAAATGATGCCTACTCACAATATTACGCTCTTTCTGAAAATCTTACTGTGGATGAAATTACAGTACTTTTCAAACCGTGAATTTCAGATAATATATCCCAAAAAACAAACATTCTGGAACCAAAATTTACAAATTATAACACAAGATTGGTCACATATATGACATGGAGGTCTATTTAGGGAAATCCAGGATGCAAGTAACCACAGACATGGCAACACACACTATAGTAAAGTGCTGGACAAAAAAGTACGAGAACATGGGACATAACCTGTACATGGACCTCATTTCCTCTCCTGACTTATTTGACAGTCTGACTACACAGAAAATCAGCTGTTGCAGAACAGTACGACCCAAGAGAAAGGGAATGCCACTTGACCTGCCGCTACCAAAACAAATGAAACATGGTGATAATTGGTCCAGGACATGAGGTGACTTGACAACAATCGTCTGGAAAGATAAATATGATGTGTATGTACTAAGAAATATGCACAATCCACCAGAAACAGAAGGCAACTTCTATGACAAACATGGGAATGCTTTGAAGCCATAAACTTTTCAAGACAAAACCAGCATACAAGTTATGTTAATAAAGGTGACAGAATTACCAATAGCAACTCAAATGAATGGCAGATATAAAAGTGGGGAAAAAACAACATATTTTTCCACCTGTTAAACATGACTATTGTGAACAGCTTCCTCATCCTGACATCATGTGGTGTCAAAATAACATATATATTTCCAAGTAGCCCTCATGTGAAACTTGACTGATAATGCTGAGAGTTTATCTTGTCCCTGTCTTCCAATGGAAGACCAGCTACCACAGAGAGAAAAGATACTTTGTTTGAGGTAATTTCAGCAATTATTAGCCAATAATTCCTACTACTACTGCACCTGTTTCACTTCATGAATACAAAAGAGAATACGCATAAAATGTAAAAAGTGTTATGTGGGACTGTGATATGGAGTGTGTTTCAAAACATACCACAAAAAATACAAACTGTGATGTAAAGTGCTGGCAGGTTTCAAAGCCACAAAAAACCTCACCAAACAGGTACGTAAAAATCGATGTATCCTGCAATGTGTTCTACTGTCCAAAACACATAAAGCCTGGTGTGTGGGTCTGTTGTAAGATGGGATACTAGGATTTAAAACTCCACCATATGGGTCTCATGCATATTAAGGGTTATATGAGAGACCAAGTTTCACAACATATAAAATAACAAGTTAAATTAGAGCTTTGTAAATCTATTAGACACTTAACAAACTACATTCACAAATCCTCTACTAGTGTGTTGATCTCCCTGTTTTCATACTGATCATTGGTTTCCAATAAATCACTCCACAACAGTCTATTTCTGGAGCCGGCATCAAACTGTCCCCCCCTTACTCCCCTTCTTTTACAAATCCTAACTACATCAATCACATTATCAACAGTGTCCTGTAAGTGAAAAAAGTAATGCAGCTACATTATATCCTGAAAGAAAATACTTAAGACTTTCACTTGGAAATACTACATAACAGTGTAAAATGCAATCACCTTCGGGTAATATTTTAGACTTTAGATGTGTTCAAAACTGATTTCTTACCTACCAGAACTCACTGGATCTCTACTCTCACCACACCAGACTATACCTCACCAAGCAGAAACACAATAATGGAGGAAAATAAATAAAAATGGACTAGCATATTGTCCTTTCTTCCAGATTGGCTCTGAGGCCCACCCATCCCCCTATCTAATGGGTACGTGGGTCCTTTCCCAAGAATAAAGTGTGGTTCAGGTGTGATGATGACCACTCACCCCTGCCTAGTGATGAAATTAAGAATGAGTAGGAGCTATACCTCCTGCCCCCTAAGCACCTACATGACATAAAGCAGAACAGCTTTAATTTACTTTACTTCTTATTCTTCACTGTCCTGAATGAAAACTGCAGGTAATGAATTTTACTAAGCATATAATGACTGCCTACTGTAATTGATAAATACTCAAATTGATTTAAATTATTACAGTGCATGGCGAATATGGGAATAATGCTGAAAAATCATAAGACAATTAGATTTCTTCACTGGGCCCTGAATGCCTTTGATCCGGTTACTGGGAGCTACACTTTACTTGAAGATGGCTGTCTTCTGGGGCAGCACGGACCTCCGAAAGGTCAGTAAACTTCTACCAAGAAACAGCGCAACATCCCAAAAGACAGCCATCTTCAGACTCACAGCCATGAAAAAAAAATCCTACACTTTACTTGTTGATAAATTTGTTTACCATATCGCGAACAAAGCGGAACATTCAGGAAATTATACTTTTAAATCAACATATGAAATTTGATTTAATTTCTTACAAGAAACTAGTCTTTCTTACGCTAAAACTGCAAATGACATACCTGAACGTTGCCATTTTTATCTTTTGCAACATTACCAAAAAGACGGGTGTTTCCTCCAAAATGTCTCTAGGAATTCATATCTATTCTATACCTACCAAGTCTTCAACTTGTTCATTGTCCACCAGTGGTTCATCTAATGTATCTGACTTCTTATCTGTAATAGGTTTCGTTATAATTGTCATTTTAACAAACTATAGTGGACAACTATATCCTTCACAACAGAACGACTGCACAAATCAATGGATTATGGTTCCTCTCAATCCCGTTATCAACTCAGCGCTGCAGTAGGTCACATGAGTGGGTCTACGTTTAATCGCCGAAATAAACACAAATTACAGAACTATTGGCATTAGAGAAATTTGATAACATGCAGAAGGAATCAAAACACCCCTACACAAGTATTAGAATTGTAATTTTAAAACTTCTTATCCAAAAAATAAAATCACCGAACTACAGAATATGATATGGAACAAGTACACAAGACAGATCCAGTCTCCGAAACGCCATGTTATGACAAACAGCAGACAATGAATAATGTCCTGAATTTTAACCCAAACTGTTGCAATACAGCATCATCAGTATCCTCTAGAATGATCTGGAAGACCGCAACTTCGACGCCCTATTAAACTATTACCGGACGGCCAAAATGATCTAACGTCCTGACTTCGTGATTAATGATGGTAATGGAATAAAAGTACAGTATCCACATTCGGTCTCCACTTTTACTCTTCTCCTGCATCCTACGATGTATTTCATAAGTACATATTTTGGTTTCATGGGCTGTGACGTGTAGTTTTGTGAAAAGTTGCTAACAATTTGAGAATCTGATACCTCTACCTTCAGAGTCGAAGTAATTAAATCGTTTCAAATTTGTGTCCATATTTGCCCTTGATTTTACGCAGAACGTTTATTGATATGTCTGATTTAGTATCCTGTCATATCATGAGGGCTTAACAAATCGCTGATGTACTCTTTGAAAACGTATCATCTCCTACAAGACGGTACTGTCGTACATCTTCCAGTTATTATTAATGATTTCAGTGATTTTCGTAGAAATAATATATTTTTGTGTCTCGCCTTGAAGGTTGAATAACACTGTTCTTGATTATCTTTTTCTGTTATTTATTTATATAATTTTACTTTGGTCGGAAGGAGGGCTATTTAAAACAAAAATTTACTCCTCACAGTCATTTCTTAAAGCGCTTTGTTATCTATGGTTTAGCAGTAGGTGGAAAGAAAACAAAATCACCAGTCTTATGAATGTGAGATGCGTTGGTATTATCTTTGGTTGTCTGTACGTTGTTCATGATTCCCCGGTAAGGGTGGGAGAGAGGTTGTTTGGCAGAAATACGTCTATATCTATGACTTTCCAGGGAATATGTCAAGTCTGAAAATTGGTAAGAAAATTTATATGTACGCTTGATGATGTGATTAAATGCTTCACCTCTTGTATATTCTTATCGAGATGGAAATATAGAATAGCAAATATGTGGTTAGTATTATTTGTGCTGCTTTCTTAGACGCTCGTAACGTTTAGAAGAATGTGCATTATTAATTGTGAATTATTTTATGTTGTTAAAAGTAAAGCCTATTTGATGTGCTTTTTTTGCCTCTCTTAGTCGTATTAATTTCACACTTGAAGTTTAAGTACTGTATTTGGCATACAGTTACCACAATTGGTAATATGTTGAATAGTACCATAGAGGTTATGATTTTATAATTTGCTTATAACACACGTTTGGTATTCTTTATTTGTGTTTCTGGATTAGAAATTGCATGAACGCAGCATGGAAGAAGGCAACATAAACAGTGCAAACATATTCCTGGTTTTAATGATAGTTGTTCATGACAATAACAACAACAGTACCTTTTCCATCTTCACCACAAGATCTTTTTATTGTGTTGTAATAGGCAAAATTGGTGCAGCTGGTTGGTTTTAAAATTTGAATTCAGAGCCTGTCATCAATAAGACAAAAAACATTTGATCAAAACTTGTTCACATACTCCCAGTGCGTTCCAGGGTATCTTTCTTCAGTGGCAACTCTTGCTAGGTCATGAAGCTGTTATACTACTGAGGTTAAGATTGCATGGAGTTTTACCTTCACTTTACTCTACCTCTTTATGGCCTTGTACATAAGCACAGACACAACTTTACTTTTGTACTTGTTTTATATTAGTGTGACACTAAATTGGTATTTAAAATTGAATGAAAGGGTGGTGTGATTAAATTGTATGCCAAAGTTAGAGAGTTGTGTGTGAAAGAAGTTGAATAACTAATCTTTTGTATTAGTTTAAAGTTATAATGTTGATATGTTGTGTTTGATTTTCGGTTCCTCCTCCCTCGTTTCTTCATGATCATTATCCTCTTCATTGCATAAGATTATGTGAAGTGAGAAAATGATGCCTTCAGTTTCCAAAATATTTGTTACTTTATTAGAAATAAAATTGGTATGTACAGGAAGAACGATTTGTGTGTAGTGTTTGTTCATCTCTTCATTTTTAAACTGAAAGTTGTTGGAACAACTGGGAACATATTCTATTTCCTTTCTGGATTAGTGTGGCTATGTTAGCTTTTAAAAGCAAAGTAGTTTCCATAAAAACACAAATTACTGCCCCGTCAGGTTGAAATGTTATGAGTGCACTGTACATGTTACAAGCATTTTGTAGTTTCCCTTAGTTCCATCACAGCAGTGTCTGTCCATTATCTTCATTCCACATCTGTGTGACTCACCCCTAAAAACTGTGATTTTGTATAACAGCAATTGATGCATTGCTATTAAATGAGTGCCAACTGATTTCAGTGTAAGAATATTTTGCTTTTACTTCTTCAGATTATCTTGATAGAACCAAACACAAGTGTGTTACTCTGGTGTCCTTTGCTGTATGTCTGCATTTCCATTCTTGAGGAAAATATTGTGCCTCTTACAACTTAACAGAATTTAGTTGCTTATGGGTGTGTCATATCAGTGGCTTTGCTTGGTGTTGGTTCAGTTTGTGGGAATGTCCTGGAGGTGGTGCATTTTTACCTTAAAGAAAAACACAACTTTTAAATTTCTGCACCTGACACAACTAGTAAAAGGTGTGCGATTACACAAGAAAAGAGAGAACACTTTGTTACCAGACCCTGGTGATATTGAGAAGAAGCTAGGTGAGTTCCCTGCATGTGGCGTACGTGTTTAGTTTGTGTTTTCTTGGTGTTGGCACAGCAGAAACTCCCCTTGTACAACATGTTGTAGTTTCCTATTAAAATCATCCCACTTTAATGCATTCTGTAAGCCTTATTGGTTAGATAATGCAAACTGCTGAGGTGTAAGTCTAGTGATAAGTTTTGGTATGATTCAAGGACTACAGTCATGTGATTCAAGAAGAAGAGTGCAGTGTGCACACTTGTGGAACTTTGTGCAGCAGGCATTTGCTGCTGGTGCGCATTTCGTATTCTGTCATAATATTAGTTTTACAAAGAAGTAAGATGACAACACATATTTTCCTTTTAGTATCTCCATCAGTATATACAGGTTGTCTATTAACTTCATGTCATTATTGAGATCTTTTCCAGTCAGAAATATCACATGAACATAGGTTTGACTTTCAGCAGTTTCAATTCTATGAATATGAATTAAAGTTGATTTAAATAATACAAAACACAATTACAGACTATTTCCATTGTGATGGGGCACCCCCCCCCCCCCCCCCC